GAACTCTTACATTACTCGACACACTGCTATACACCGCAGTTCGACATTATGATGCTAAGTTGTATAAAAAAAACAATTAACAGAAGCCAGGAACGTCCCATTACATTAATCGTGGTATGCCAGCTGTCTGAGAGATGATCCATGAACCCAAAGCAGTAAACTGACACGTTATTCAGTCCCTAAATGATTTAGATTCATGACTTTGAAGCTCGGGTTTGTGGTTCAGGTGGAGAGAAGAACAGACTTTAGTAGTTAAGTGTACAGTAACAGACACACAGGAGGTACAGTAACACACACACAGGAGGTACAGTAACACACACACACAGGAGGTACAGTAACACACACACACACAGGAGGTACAGTATGGTACAGCATAGTAAGACCTTACCTCACACCCCCACCAGGCAGGGCAGTATGGAGTGGGTCGCCTGCTTGTTCTCAAAGTGGGCTCTGAGAAGCATCATCAATATGTTGTTCTGGACCTGAATATCTGTTGTCTCTGCCCCCTCGTACACTATTAGTATACTCTTCTCTTCTGTAGGTAGGAAAGATAATCGCTTCATAATGGTAATGTGAGCTTTGGCCGCAGGTAACCCTAAAAGTCAACAGATAATCAAAACACTAATATAACTCAGAGATTAACAAACTCTAGCACATATTAACAACATGAAGAATCTATAAGCATGAAAATAAATCCAAAGAGTATTTGGATATTTTTACACCTTTCATTATGGCATCTCCTCCAACCTAAAGTTATCTGAAGATTTTTTTTAAATATAGCTTTTGTGAGTTAAATATAATATTATAAGCAATAAACCGTTAAAAACTAAGCCATTACTGTATTTTACGGCCATATAAGACACACGGCCATATGAGACGCACGGCCATATAAGACGCAGGGCATTATAAGACACACGGCCATATAAGACGCACGGCCATATAAGACACACGGCCATATAAATATTAAGGTAAAAACTTGTATGTGTATTTTCCTCCTGTAGCCATAGTTTTCTTGAGATAATATATTCAGTACCAGTAAATGTGAGGAATAAATAACAATAATACCAATAAATAAGTTTAACACAGTTGCCATTTGCATATACTGTACAGTCTCGTTCAAGATTCTTCCAACGCTGCTCGAGACAGCTGGCAACTCAAGGTCCAGGCAAAAGCACGTGCAATATATGAAGAACTACAGTAGAAAGAAGAAGGCCCAGTGAAACTATTCAGTGCTAGGTCTGGTTGGTTCACTAACTTCAGGCGAAGATGCGGGGTATCACAACATCAAGATGAGTGGAAAGGCTGCATCTGCCGATGTCTTGGCTGCTGAGCAGTTCATGAGGGATATTATTCAGGAGAGAGGCTACTCTTCAAGGCCGCTAAGGATCGTTATACCTCATTGTTTGGAGGTAATACTGAAGGTGATGTGCAGGAGTTATTAGACTCACATGAAGAAAAACTTTTGCCCCAAGATTTGCTTGACTTAGTAAAAGAGCGGGAAGAAGAGGAAGGAGAGAAGAGCCTGAGGCTGTTCAAACTCTAACAGCAAGGAGGTTGACAGAGGCATTCACTTTAATTGAGTTTGGTTTGGCTATTATAGACAAAAACGATATAAATGGTGATTGTAGCTCAAAAGTGAGCAGAAATGTGCATTTGGCTATGCAGTGCTACAAAGATATCCTGCGAGAAAAGAAAATGAAAGCCACCCAAAAGACGTTGCTCTCATATTTCAAGAAATCTGACAGCAATACATCTCAGCCATCGACATCTGGCATCTCCAGACCACAGCCTACCTCAACCACTGACTCGCCCGTACCCTCGCCTCAGTGGCTTCCCTCCCCTACACCACCGTTGTCAAGCAGAAGTCATCAGTCGTCAATGTAAGTGTTATTTAAGATGTATTTACTATTGTTTTTCCTTTATTAACTGTTTTTTCTTTATTAATGAGTAAGGTAAAAGAATATTTATTGTGACAGTTGTTTCCCTAACCTGTACATGTATTCTTATGGGATAAATACAGTACAGTACGTTTAATTTACGTGTTTTTGAATTATGAGGTGACCTTCAAGAACGTAACTCCCGTGTTATGTGTTTGCCCTTAGGATAGTGTGTGCATGTAACTGAGTAAAAATAAATGAAGTAAGTTATGTTTATCTACCCAAAAATACGAGATGAAGAACAACCATAACAGTAATGAGTCTAACCTGGCTACAATGCTCCCAGTGATGTTAACAGATGTAAATGTGAAACGAAAATTATCTGTACATCTTCATTTGTATCAGGTATTTGTAGATTTAAAAATGATGTTGCAGGTATGGCATTAATAGAGTGTAATGCTTGTAAAAGTACAGAAATGGTTACTGCTTAGCTACCTCTGATGAGTTAGGTGTCTGCCGTAGGGACATTAATTGTATCGGTTGTCATCATCAGTACAATACAGAAGAGTGATAGATCGACCTATTATATTTACAATAATTATTTTATAATTAATTAAATATAATATACAGGGGGTATGTGCTTTATGTGTGTATGTCTACACCCACAAACATATTTAAAATACAGGTAAAGGAAATTACTGTCTCTACAACGAATGGCTCCCTGTCCCAGCTGTGAAAATGCTGGCAATTTTAAAACTACCCACAGCCATTCTTGGGTACATCCAGGGTGTCATCCGTGAATAACCAAGAACCGCGAAGTAAAAATCAGCGAAATTGGGGGGCATACTGTACTGGGTGGAGCGAACCAGAACACACCCGACCACAACAATAACAAACACCAGACTGACCAAGCGTTGAGAGCAGAGCGGCGAGATATGCCGAGATTTTCCCAGATAACTTTATAAACGTATCTCAGCTTTTCCCGGGTTATACTATTATACATTCCTAGACTATATCAGTGCTGAGTTATATAAAACTCCAAGTTATCGAGAGTTTACTGTATTTCCTCTTTAAACATCACTACCTTAACCATGGTGTGACACCATAAACTTTAACCATGGTGTGACACCATAAACTTTGACCATGGTGTGACACAGTTAACATCAACATCTGAATATAAACAAACAAACAATAAAGCATCGTCACAATCCATAACAAATTAGTAAAGCTTCACCTTCTACTGAACACTGTTGACTGAACCACTTTATTACAGTAGTGAAGAGCGACTCACCTCCTACTGAACACTGTTGACTGAACCACTTTATTACAGTAGTAAAGTGTGACTCACCTCCTACTGAACACTGTTGACTGAACCACTTTATTACAGTAGTAAAGTGTGACTCACCTTCTACTTCTGAACACAGTTGACTGAACCACTTCATGGGACACTGATCACACAACAGGTTCTCCTGACGCTCTCGCACCTGAGCCTCATGGACGGCAGCGAAGGCCTTGCTCAGTGCTGTGTAGGGCGTGTAATAATTATGTTAGATACTGCATCATGATGAGAATAATAATGTGTGGACAGCTGTACTGTCATAACTACACCCAGAAATTGTTCAATTTATGAAAGGGTTTTTCTGGAACAGAACACTTTCACAGAATGGAGGATGTCTGTACTCAACAACACTCCTGCCAGGTGCTAAGTCAAGCCAGCTGAAGCCTTTATAAACAATGTGACCTGACCTTTTGACCCCTAATATAGAGCAACTCTGTAGATTTTCATGGTCACTGCATATTTTAAGCCCAAGTAATAAAGTTACAGTATTTATAATTTCAAGATGTGTTGCCAATAAAGAGTTGTTTAGTCACCACACATTGATACTCACAATAATAACAGACTATTCAAACATCCTCACTCTTAGCAATAATTACAAGGATAATCTATTTTATGGATTAATAATTACAAATTTGATTTCATTCAATGTTTAGACCACCGTCCCTACAGCTAACTTCCCCTGATGGTGGCCACTTTAAGGGTAAGTTTAATCAGTGTTACAAGACAAGTAAGGTGAGGCTCACCTTGCATGATCTCATCAGTGACTGAGCTCATCTGACACTTGAAGACGTAACCCAAATAACACGCCGTCTCTCCATTTAGCTCACGACAGATGAACCCAAAATGGTCATTATTCTTGATTCCCTGCAAATAAAGACGAGATATTATACCACATTATGATATACAGATAAATACACATTAAACAATAATAATAATAATAATAATAATAATAATACCCCCATTACAGACAGTATCCCAGCTCTTAATGACTGGAGTGAATGTGCAAAGGCTGTACAACCAGTGTAGGCCCAAGTAGACTCAATTATGCAGATGAGCATGAAGCAGAGGGTGAGGTTATGACTGACCATGTAAGGCAGTCAATATTGTTAACAAGGTAATGTTATCTAAGTGGCCTTCAATTATAACAACATTGAATAACATCAGACAACACGACCATCATACTCTGCGGTCACAACTCCCAAATGCAATACTGTTCTTATTTTACCGCTAGACAGTGCCAAGTAAGGAAGAGTGGTGAGAGGAGTGTAGTGGGAGTAGGCGAGGCCGAGTCAGTCCCACGACACAACAAAGAGCGAGGGGTGTAGGCTATGCTGAGTTGGCTTCATGTACCCACCCACCCGAGCCTCCAGACACTAACATATAACCAGTACCTCTCACATGATCACTATAAACACACTGAGGCTTTCTGTTCTCAGCCAGACCTGCAACATACAAGTGTAAAACTAGTCTGTGATGCACTGTGGATATGAAGAATATTAATTGACCAACTGCTGATGGTATGCAGCTTATATTGTGTTACTATTAAGATAACTTATTCATTTGTGGGCTTTACTTTTACTTTTATCCTCTTCACCACTGATCGGCTTGTTAGCCGCTTGGGCGATCGGTCACGTCTCTGTCACGCACTGTTGGCAAATACTGAATGTACCTAAACCAGCTCCAATGTTGGTCAAGTCTTCTCTTGAAAGAGCTCACACTCGGTGCTGTCACAACACTCTCTGGTAGATTGTTCCAAGAGTTCACAACTCTCACTCCAAAAAGTTTGCCCTCACAGTTTTCTGTACTTGCGGCTTCTTCAACCTTGAGCTGTGACCCCTTGTGAAGTGAGCATCTGCCAGCTCCAGGTAAGGACACTCGACTGAGTAGTGCCCCCTGAGATGCTTATACACCTCTACTAGGTCACCCCTTGCCCGTCTGTAGTATAAGCTAGGCAAGTTCAGGCGCCCTAATCTCTCAGGGCAGCTGAGGTGCCGCAGTGCAGGCACCAGTCTGGTGGCCCTCCTTTGAACATTTTCAACCAACTGACAGTCCCTAGCATATCTCGGGGACCAGGCGGGGTGACAGTACTCCAGATGGGGAAGCACTTCACTCTTGAAGATCGTTACGAGGGACGGACCGTCTAGATATCTGAACGACCTTCTTATAAGACCCAATAAATTATTTGCCTGATTTACCCTCTTCTTGCAATGGCCTGAGAACTTCAGTTCATTGTCAACATACACACCTAGGTCCTTCTCACATTGTCTCAACTAGTGCAGTTTCTTCATTCCGCTGGGACATATGATACGCCTCCTTACCGTTGGTATGCCCCAGGTGCATCCTCTTACACTTCGTGACATTGAATTTCAGCAGCCATTTCTTCGACCAATCTTGGAGCCCACAGAGATCCTTCTGCAGCTCTTCACTGTCCGCTTGGTTCTTGATTTCCCGAAATAACTTGGCGTCATCGGCAAACATTTGTATGGAGGAGTGTACAGCGTCAGGCATGTCATTTATGAAAAAACAAACAACAGCGGTCCAATACACTGCCCTGTGATACCCCGCTTGTGACAGGTACAGGTGATGATTTCATGCCATTAATTACCACACACTGCTTGTGGTCATGTAGAAAGTCTTCTATCCACGCTGGGACATTTCCCCGAATCCCGTACCCTTCCAGTTTGATTTTCAGCCTTTCGTGGGGTACACTGCCAAAAGCCTTGGCAAAATCTAGGTAAATATTGTCGATATTACCACCCCATTCCAGAATATGGGTCCAAATATCCAATACCTTGGGCAATTGTGTTAAGCAGGAGCGTCCCGACATAAAACCGGGTTGGCAATCCTTAAGGTTGTTTCATATTAGATGTTCCATCGCAGCATTTCTTGAAGATAAGACTCACACAGGCCACTTTCCATTCACTGGGGACCTCTTGTTCATCCAGGCATTTACATAACAAGATCTTCAGAGGCTCGGCAAGCACTCTGGGATGCACCATGTCAAGGCCGGGACTCTTATGGGCCTTTAGCTTTGACAGTCTATTTCTTACACCAAGTATTAGGCGTGTGCTGAAGTTCTGGCCCCTGAGCTTGCTTGACTCTTTTTCCTTTGCCACAAAACCCAAACTTTTCCTTCTTCTTTGAAGCATGCCTTGGTTCAGCCCATCCTGAAGAAGGGTGACCATTCTAATCCCTCTTACTATTGCCCCATTGGTCTAACTTCATCCCTCTCTAAGATTTTCAAAACTACGTATCTTCAACTCTTATTTTCTCTGTCACCTTGAACGCCATTCTCTTTTGTCGGATTACCAGTATGGCTTATGCCAGGTGTGATCTACTGGTGATCTGCTCTCCTATTGCACCCATCTTTGGTCATCCTCTCCTAAGGATTATGGGGAAACTTTCGCCGTTGCCCTCGACATCTCCAAAGCATTTGACAGGGTATGGCACAAGTCTTTGCTTTCTAAACTTCCCTCTTATGGTTTCTCTCCCCCACTTTGTTCTCTAATTTTAACTTCCTTGAGAAACGACCCATGGCAGTTGTTGTCGAGGGATCGATCTCTCGCTCTTTCTCCACCAATAGTGGTGTCCCACAGGGTTCTGTTCTTTCACCTACTCGCTTCCTTCTTTTATCATTGACTTACTTCACACTACAACTAATTCTATCCATTCTTACACTGATGATTCTACTCTTCACTCTTCCTCACAGTTTTCCCTTCCTCCTAACTCTCAAACTAGATCTGTTTCTAGAGCTGATATCATTTCATCTATCAATGCAGATCTGTGCTGCATCTCTGAATGGGGAGGTAGAAACTTGGTTAAATTCAAGAATAATAAAACACAGTATTTACCAATTACACTTTCCAAATTAGATGATCTCCCACCATTCACATTTCAGAATGCAATCATTCTGTCTTATTCTAAAATAGATATGCTAGGCCTCACCATTTCCTCTAATATGTCATGGAAGCCACACATCCACAACATTGCTAAAGCTGCCTCCCAAAAGCTGGGAATGCTGTACAGATGCCACAGCTACTTCACTCCTGAGCAGTTGTTTTAAGTATATAAGGGATTTATTCATCCTAACTATAACGGGCAATGTTCCGTGGATTTGGCATCCTGTGTACCGCCGGCAAGGCTGTGGGCTCGTAACACACGTCTTGCCAGCGGTGCCCACCGTTTTTCTGTGGATGTCGGTTACACTAGATTAACCCATTATAGTACATCCTTCTTTCCTCACACTGTTAAACTGTGGAATGCTCTGCTTCCTTCTGTGTTTCCATACTCATACAATGTCTCAATTTAAAAATCTGGTTTTCCGGCATCTTCGTGGTGTAGATTAATATAACCTTTTTCTTTTTTTATTATTTTCTTTTTATGCTTATTTTTTCGCCCCCCCCCCCTCCCTATTGTGGGTTAATGACCTGTGCCTGGGTGGGCTATTCCCCGTAAGAAAAAAAAATATGATTCGTCATTCTAGTAAATTGATTACAGTATTTGTATTTAACCGAAATAAACTGTATCGAACTGCCATGACGGGTTAAATCTCCTTACTGGGCGACTAAAACCTATATATAACAGCGTCTTATGGCAGGTTAACTGAAGACTTATTAAAGAGTTATTTCAGGAGGTAAAAGTTATACCATAATGAGTGTGTACTCTCTTCACTACAGGGATGCCTAATTTAATATTTTATTTGTGTATGTCAGACAGTTTTATTCAGCTCAGAGGTGACCCTGTACACAAGGGGTTAACATTTCAAGTGTGTACTGTACAGATGTTAATGTTTCAAGTGTGTAGTGTACAGATGTTAATGTTTCAAGTGTGTACTGTACAGATGTTAATGTTTCAAGTGTGTACTGTACAGATGTTAATGTTTCAAGTGTGTAGTGTACAGATGTTAATGTTTCATGTGTGTCCTGTACAGATGTTAATGTTTCAAGTGTGTACTGTACAGATGTTAATGTTTCAAGTGTGTACTGTACAGATGTTAATGTTTCAAGTGTGTACTGTACAGATGTTAATGTTGTACAGATGTTAATGTTTCAAGTGTGTACTGTACTGTAATGTTTCAAGTGTGTACTGTACAGATGTTAATGTTTCAAGTGTGTACTGTACAGATGTTAATGTTTCAAGTGTGTACTGTACAGATGTTAATGTTTCAAGTGTGTACTGTACAGATGTTAATGTTTCAAGTGTGTAGTGTACAGATGTTAATGTTTCAAGTGTGTACTGTACAGATGTTAATGTTTCAAGTGTGTACTGTACAGATGTTAATGTTTCAAGTGTGTACTGTACAGATGTTAATGTTTCAAGTGTGTACTGTACAGATGTTAATGTTTCAAGTGTGTAGTGTACAGATGTTAATGTTTCAAGTGTGTACTGTACAGATGTTAATGTTTCAAGTGTGTACTGTACAGATGTTAATGTTTCAAGTGTGTAGTGTACAGATGTTAATGTTTCAAGTGTGTACTGTACAGATGTTAATGTTTCAAGTGTGTAGTGTACAGATGTTAATGTTTCAAGTGTGTACTGTACAGATGTTAATGTTTCAAGTGTGTACTGTACAGATGTTAATGTTTCAAGTGTGTACTGTACAGATGTTAATGTTTCAAGTGTGTACTGTACAGATGTTAATGTTTCAAGTGTGTACTGTACAGATGTTAATGTTTCAAGTGTGTACTGTACAGATGTTAATGTTGTTAATGTTTCAAGTGTGTACTGTACAGATGTTAATGTTTCAAGTGTGTACTGTACAGATGTTAATGTTTCAAGTGTGTACTGTACAGATGTTAATGTTTCAAGTGTGTACTGTACAGATGTTAATGTTTCAAGTGTGTACTGTACAGATGTTAATGTTTCAAGTGTGTACTGTACAGATGTTAATGTTTCAAGTGTGTACTGTACAGATGTTAATGTTTCAAGTGTGTAGTGTACAGATGTTAATGTTTCAAGTGTGTACTGTACAGATGTTAATGTTTCAAGTGTGTACTGTACAAATGTTAATGTTTCAAGTGTGTACTGTACAGATGTTAATGTTTCAAGTGTGTACTGTACAGATGTTAATGTTTCAAGTGTGTACTGTACAGATGTTAATGTAGGCTGTGGGAGCAATATTCTTCAGTGATCTCTCAACCTTTTTAGTCACCCCTCCTTCCTTTTTTTTTCATTAATTCTGGGAATCTGATGAAAATTTGGAACCCCACTATAAGTGTTTAAACTCCCTGATGATAACCTTACCTAACCTTAACCTAATCCTAAGGCAAGCTAACCTAATATAACCTCACCTAACCTTATCCTCAGGTAACCTAATCCTAAACTAACCTAACCTACCCTAACTTAACCTTATCCTAAACTAACCTAACTGAATCTAATGGTAGACCTTGCTGCCATATGTGACCAAGTCCCAGGTTGGTGATCTGACTTTCTGTCTCATTTACACACAATTGTAGGGTCTCAAGTGTTTCTCTTACTATTGACAACACAACATAAACACTGTATATATAATTTCTCAATCTTGATAAAGGTGTATAATATTTTTTCCATTTCTGTATTTATTTCCATGATGCAATTTGTTTCTTCTGATGCTTTTTTTCATTCCCCGCAAGACTCAATGTGCCAGTGACCTGTGCCCAGGTGGTCTAATCACCATTGAAAAAAAATCTCATCCATTCCTTCTTTCTTTCTTTCTTTCATACCAATACTCTATGACACATCCTCCACCCTTCCTTCACCGGCACATCCGCCACCCTTCCTTCACCGACACATCCGCCACCCTTCCTTCACCGACACATCTCCTACACCCTTCCTTCACAGCATCACATCCGCCACCCTCCTTCACCGACACACATACCCTCCTTCACCGACACATCCATACCCTCCTTCACCGACACATCCGCTTAATTCTTCTTCACCGCACATCCCCCACCCTTCCTTCACCGACGCATCTGCCACCCTCCCTTCACGGACACATCTGCCACCCTCCCTTCACCGACACATCTGCCACCCTTCCTTCACCGACACATCTGCCACCCTTCCTTCACCGACCCAACCAACCAGAGATGCCCGAACCACCTCACTTCCACCTCTCCCTTTACCTCCAATCAAACTGAAATTCATTTATGCCAACCACCTCACTTCCTCCTCTCCCTTTACCTCCATCAAACTGAAATTCATTTATCCATTTCCCATCATTACATTCATCAACATTCACTTTTAACTCTATGTACACAATTTATCAGAAACTCCTTCACTTACCTATTGACTTCCTTCCAGTTATTACTTCTCGCATTATCATCTGCACACAAGAGACACTATATCAAGCAATTTCTACTCCAGCACAGCACAGAACACTATTTATATATCCTTATAGTAACTTCCATCATCCCATATTTGAGCTCTTAATATAATTCACCTCTGGCTTATATAGAGACTAAATATTACTACAATTATCATTTCATTAACAAACACAAAGTAAACTATAAATAGGGTATTAGTTCAGGTACAAGGTGGAAATTAACATAACAAAATACTTATGATAATCTTATCTTGGCTACTGATAGGAATTTGACTGTGGGCCGGCCTCTGTGTGTGTGTGTGTGTGTGTGTGTGTGTGTGTGTGTGTGTTGTGTGTGTGTGTGTGTGTGTGTTGCGTGTGTGTGTGTGTGTGCGTGGGTGTGTGTGTCTTGTGTGTGTGGGGGTGATAACCAGCATATTCATTTCCTGTGTTTAATTAGATATATAATGACAGAAATTGTTTTATTGTTTTAGCTTTCTTTGTTGTGTCACTGTTTTAGCTTTCTCTGTTGTGTCACTGTTTTAGCTTTCTCTACCCCATTCCGTGATATTTCTCGCTGTTAAAATCGTGTCATCCTCTCACACATCATTTAGTACATGTCAACAAGATCTACTGAAACACTTGTGTCTACTCGCCTCCTCATATCTCTGGTACAGTAGCTCGTGTGCTTTGTGAGATGTGGCAATGCTGTGATTGTTTACTTCAGGTTAAAACTCCCGGAATGCCCCTAAGGGAACCTCACAATAGTAGCCAGGATAAGGATGTTAGATAAGTCTTTCACAGATTTGTCAAAGCTCACAAAATGCACCAGCCACTGTACAAAGGTATAAGTGCAGGTGACTGTACCATCCATCCCCAACTTGATACCCAGAATATAAAGAACTTTAACCCTTAAGCCCCGGGTTAGGGGTGTACCCCCCACCCGGGGGTAAATCGAGAAAAGTCTACTTTTCCAAAAATAATTTTAAAATTTTTTTAATGTTAAAATAATTAAAAATAAGTAAAAAAAACTATATATTGACCCTCGAGAAATTTCCCTGCAGCATGGAGGGAGCGAGATAAAGGGACAGCTTTGTCATGATGGCTAACCTGTTAAACTAATGATCCATATTAAGCTCACACGTCCACAAAACCTTCCGAGTCTCCCAGTGGTAATGTCCGCCGTTCTCTCTGTTTCCTTGATGACGTCATCGAGATGTCGCATGTTTGTTGACCGAGCTGTAAACTCTTTCGGCTACCGAGACCTGTAAACCTTTTTTCTCACCTATGAATATTAGAGACTGATAATCATAGTGAAATTGTGGCAGGGAGGTTAACTGAGGAATGAGTTAGTATTCCTGGTAGGGAACCTTTTAAAATCAGCTCCTCGGGTTTGTAGCAAGGCGCTGCATGTTGGGACTTGTTGCCATCCAACCTTTTGTGATCAATTTAATTCTTGCTTTTGATAGCTCAGTCAGATCATTGTTTGTAAAGATAATAGTAGGGAATGAAACTGAGTTCGTAGTCTCAGTTTCAAACGTCAGAGTGTTACAGTAACGTAATTCAGTTAAATGGTTGAAAAGGTGGAATCTGTGACTTTAGCGTCGGTGGAAGGCGGCGGTTCTTTTTCAAACAGTAAGCGCCACGCTTCTCCACCCACAGGTAGGTCACTCCACCTTCTCCGTGTTGTAATTCGCCATTTTTAAGTGATTTGACCTAACTAATAGTTTGTTCGTGCAAGTGTTACAGTAACGTAGTTAATGTGCTTTGAGTGAAGTATTTTATGTCCTTAATTAATGTCTCTTTGAAACGTTGAGGTTCGATATAAACCGTGAGTGAGCCACCATGCTCCTCCACCCACAGGTCCCTATCGCAGCCTAAGCCGTGTCTGTAGCGTGGATGACGCATCCACTAGTCTGGGGAGATGTCTGAGGTCCAGTAGAATCGGTTATCCCCGTGAACCCCGACAGTCAGAAGCTCCACTACCACCTATGGGGCCCACTGCTGGCCAGTATCCCCCTAACACCATGCACCCGTGGTGAACCCGGATCGTCAAGCCCACAAACCACTGCCAGCCCCATCATTGGTGGATGAGTACAGTACATAGCTCTGTAAGGCTATTTGTGTGGTGGTGTTAGTCCACCGGAATTTTCGGAGTGTTGGAAAGTGTCACTAGGTGATGAGACTCCCATAGCGGCCGCTGGAGTGTTGCCCCTGGGGTATTGAGTGTTGTACTGGCAGGTGCCACTGGTTTTATTGGTGCTGAGAGTTATGTGTGTTTTGGTGTGAGTACACCCAGTAGTGGTACCAGGAGCTCCTATTTTGGGTGCATACAGCATCTTTTCTGTAACCATTTTTGTGTCTCAATAAACATTGTATTTGTATGTGGGTCTATGATTCGCCTATAGTATTCACCGTTGTTCTCTCCCTAATACTCGATACTATATTTACATGTACCCATGGGCCTTCCTCTCACGTCACGCTACCAAGTCAGAGTATCAACGTAAGTTGTAAGAGTGCCGAGCCCTCGCAGGGTGGCAGCTTATGTTGCGTGCTCTTACAATTGGTGGCCTCAGTGGTTCAGCAGTAAGTAGTAGCAGCCCGAGCTCATACAGCTTGTTATGACGGCAGAGCTCGCGGTCACCTACGCACTTAGCAGCTATTTTTAGCTTGCCTTTGTGTCCGAGATGGCCAGTAATGCATATATTTACTGATCATAATACTTATTTGCTATAAATAATTCATTTAGAATATTTTATTTGCGTTATTTTTCATAAAAAGTGCTCGGCGACACACACAGTCTGTCGCCAGTCTGTCTGGCTGTCTTTGAGTTTGGTAGAGCAAGTAATGCAAAAATAATAATAATTCCACAAATAAATACATTTATAACATAATCATAGCATTGTTTTACAGTAATACTACACTACAATACAACTACAATACTTTTATCAATATTACTTTGATACAACATGATAAAATGGACAAACAATGAAAATGAAACAAACAAAAGTAGGTAATTATGTTCAGGAAGCTTCCCTGTGGCCGAGGTGAGGTGTGACAGGCAAATAGTCACGCTGGAACCTGATAACCCGCGCTGGCCATTTAAACAATGACGCATAAAGGCGAGTGTTCTGGAACATCACCCGAGGCGTAGGGGTTAAGGCTTCACAATGAACCACTGAAGACAATACAACCTCACACACAAACCCCATTTACTTCACTTGACTTGTAACTGAGACATCAAACAACGATCTGTTTACAAAATGAAGAAAACATCATCTTTATTATATTCACTGTGGCTCTTATCTGTACAACATCAACAGTACAGAGATATGCATCAGCAATGTTAGTTGTGTGTTTACGGTCAAATGTACTGACATAACTTGGTAACTCCTATCTTAACCTAACCTAAAATTACTTAACATAACCTGTTTTCTAAGCACTTCGATGATTCATTTCTTAAATTTAAGTAACAATCAGTCACATTTGTCACAGTCAATGGTATACTGTAAACTCAAACTATATAAATAAAGTATACAGTGGAACCTGGATTTAATGGACTACACAGAGGGTCCCCAAGTCATGAACGTCCAACTTACAAACACCCGCCGATACAAACGAGGTCCCATAGGTTAATTATTTTAAGAATCCGACATAAGTACAACCGGTTCCTGGTACTGTATTAACGTACGAGAACTAGTTTGTGTGGGGTAGAGGCGAGGCGGAGCAGCGGGTGGGGAGTAACACACCTTGAGGGAGCATCAGTACACCTTGAGGGAGCATCAGTACACCTTACCCTCACATCAGTAATGTGTGTGATCAACTACAATCTGTTGTTTATTGCGTATTAACTCTTATTTTTCTGCCCCAAACATAAACCTGATGCAAGTGGTAGTAGTGCATCCAAGAAAAAGAAAACAGTTATGATGGAAGTCAAGGTTAATGTTATTAAATATTCTGATAAAGGTAAAACACCATCGGTCATTGGTAAAGCGTTGAGCTTCAGTCGGTCAACTATCGGAACAATTTTGAAACACAAACACAAAATTCTTTAACGTGTTAAAGGATTCACACAAATGCAGTCAACTGTGATAACAAAACAAAGAAATGGATTGATAATTGAAATGGAAAGATTGATGGTGATACTGGTGGAAGATCAGCCAGACCCAGATTGTAATGTAAGTATTAAACTGTATTTTTTAGTTTTATTCATGGTATTTTGTCATTCTATTTCTTCTCTTTTCTTAAATTAAGTGACTTACGATGTATAAAAGGACTTAGATATAGTGCACATGGGGTGTGTGTTCCCACTTACACACATCGCGACTCAACAACGTCCTCAGCAACGGAACTGTTCTTCACCCAGGGAGAGTATAGTCCATTATATCGAGGTCCATCAGATGTGAAAACCTCCATATAACGGACTATACCCATTACATTGGTGTCCGTTACATGGAACGTTTTACTATCTATGAGTACTGTCTCTATGAGTACTGTCTCTATGAGTACTGTCTCTATGAGTACTGTCTCTATGAGTACTGTCTCTATGAGTACTGTCTCTACATGTACTGTCTCTATGAGTACTGTCTCTATGAGTACTGTCTCTATGAGTACTGTCTCTATGAGTACTGTCTCTATGAGTACTGTCTCTATGAGTACTGTCTCTATGAGTACTGTCTCTACAAGTTCTGTCTCTATGGTGCACTGTCTCTATGAGTACTGTCTCTACAAGTACTGTCTCTATGAGTACTGTCTCTACAAGTACTGTCTCTATGAGTACTGTCTCTATGAGTACTGTTTCCACAAGTAATGTCTCTATGAGTACTGTCTCTATGAGTACTGTCTCTACAAGTACTGTCTCTATGAGACTGTCTCTAGAGCACTGTCCTGAGCACTGTCTCTATGAGTACTGTCTCTACAGTACTGGTCTCTACAAGCACTGTCTCTATGAGTACTGTCTCTGTGAGTAATGTCTCATGAGCACTGTCTTTATGAGCACTGTCTCACAAGCACTGTCCCATGAGCACTGTCCCCATGAGCACCTGTCTCATGAGACTGTCCATGAGCACTGTCCCCACAATTTCTGTCCCCACAAGCACTGTCCCATACTGTCCCATGAGCACTGTCTCATGAGTATCACAAGCACTGTCCCCACAAGCACTGTCTCCATGAGCACTGTCCCACAAGCACTGTCTCCCATGAGTACTGTCCTCACAAGTACTGTCTCTCAAGTACTGTCTCTATGAGCACTGTTTCTATGAGTACTGTCTCATGAACACTGTCTCACAAGCACTGTCTCTACAAGCACTGTCTCTATGAGCACTGTCCTATGAGCACTGTCTCATGAATACTGTCTCTACAAGTACTGTCTCTACAAGCACTGTCCTCATAACTGTCTCTCACAAGTACTGTCCTATGAGCTGTCTCACAAGCACTGTCTCTACAAGTACTGTCTCTATGAGTACTGTTTCTACAAGTACTGTTTATACAAGTACTGTCTCATGAGTACTGTCTCTACAAGATACTGTCTCTATGAGTACTGTCTCACAAGCACGGTCTCTATGAGTACTCTCTCTACAAGTACTGTCTCTACAAGTACTGTCTCTATGAGTATTGTCCTATGAGTACTATCTCTATGAATACTGTTCATGTACTGTCTCTATGAATACTGTCCTTATGACATCTTTCTCTATGAGTACTTTCTCTACAAGTACTGTCTACAAGTACTGTCTCTATGAGTACTGTCTATATGAGTACTGTCTATATAGTACTGTCTCTACAAGTACTGTCTCTATGAGTACTGTACTGTCTCTATAATTTCGCCTCTAAGTACTGTAGTAAACCCTCATACTTCAGGACCCCTCAGATCCAGATTTCAGTTGGTCCGGACAACGTCTGGACGTGGCAAATTCCTCTCCGGTCTCTCTCTGTCAGCCTGCATGCCGTGTTTACTCCCCCGCTGCTAAAATGGACCCAGTCCGCATCTCCCGCCACTAGTGATGTAGCGCGCATTCTTCCACAGTTAAGCTTGTAGTTTCAGCGTGTACACCATTACCTCTCGATCGCTTGTTCCTCGTGTATGTTGTGCCTTGTGACTGTTTTTTTGACTGATTTCTGTTGTGATGTGTAGTGATGGCAGCCAAACTGAGCGTACACAGCTTACTGTTAGAGAGTGGTTGGTCTGTGACGAATATGGTGCTGCTAAGGAAACGGTGTCTGATATACAAAAATGGGTTCCTTCAGTCATGTACAATGAAATATAGATCTGATTCTTCAACCTCTAAGACGACTCTTGGAGGCAAAGCTGTATTAAAATTAAAAGGAGGTAAGCTAAAATAATACTGTATTGATAAACAACAATACTGTCCACACAAATAATGTATAATTATTATTATTGTTGTTATTACTGTATTATCATTACTGTATTATTATTTAATACCATTGTTATTATTAATATCACATTATTATTGTTAGTGTTATTACCCATGTCAATAACACACCTTCGTCCCCCTGGCTCATCCGGACAACCTCTCCCCCTTAACTGTCCAGAAGTGCGAGGGTTTACTGTATAATTTTACACAGCATTGTTGTTAAAGTTCTTGTTAAGTTGGACGGACTTCACTTCCGGATTAATCAACTGGATTTCACTCCGGCCGATGTGGAACAGCATAGTGCGGTTAAAGTCGTGGCTCAGCATCTGAAATATTCACCTCAGTTCTTTAAAATAATCAACACATCCACTATTAATCAACACAGTACAGTACTGTGCAATACAGCACAATACAGTACAGTACAGCACAATACAGCACAATACAATACAGTACAGCACAATACAATACAGTGCAACACTCGATACAGCAGGTACCATAAATTTAGTATAGCACCATACCATACAGTACAGCACCATACCACACAGTACATTACATATTGCAATACATACAGTATACAGTATAGTATCATACCATACAGTACACAGTACCATACAGTACAGTACCATACAGTACCATACCATACAGCACCATACCATACAGCACCATACCATACAGTACAGTACCATACAGTACAGTATTACCATACAGTACAGTACAGTACAGTATAGTATCATACTACAGTAAGTACCATACAATACAGTACATACCATACAGCACCATACCATACAGTACAGTACCATACAGTACAGTACAGTACCACATACAGTACAGTACAGTATGTCATACCATACAGTACAGTACAGTACCATACAGTACAGTACCATACCATACAGTACAGTACAGTACCATACAGTACAGTACCATACCATACAGTACCATACCATACAGTAGTACCACTGTATCCACATACAGTACAGTACCATACAGTACAAGTACAGTACCATATAATAGTACCAGTACAGTACAAGTTATACAGTACCATACAGTACCATGATACAGTACAGTACCATACCGCACAATACATTCATTACATTGATACAGTACAGTACCGCACAGTACAGTACAGTACCAGTACCATACATTACAGTACCATACAGTACAGTACAGTACCATACAGTACAGTACCATACAGTACAGTACAGTTTACTGTGATAAACAAGGAAGCCTGTAATAGTACTTGTGTCAGGTTATTATTGGGTGTAAATAACAATAAGTTTATTATTCTCAAACACTCACAATGTTATCAAGTGAGTCATCATAACTCACAGGAGACTCCACCACAGTCACTCTTGTGTCAGGTTATTATTGGGTGTAAATAACAATAAGTTTATTATTCTCTAACACTCACAATGTTATCAAGTGTGTCATCATAACTCACAGGAGACTCCACCACAGTCACATGGTCCATTGGATTAGGTGCATAATTAATTATAACAAAACTATTCTTTCTTAAATTTCTTATATACAAGGATCAGTTTTCAATGCTCAGATGTTTCATAAAATAAATTATTTCTTAAAGTAAATTCTGGGTTGTCAAATACCTTACAGTGCAGAGGAACACATAATCCTCTCCTACAATATTAGATGTACAATAATTAATCTGACATACAACTTTGGCCTATAGAGTAAACCCCCCCCCCCCATACCAGACTAATTCCTGCACACCCTGTCCACTAATGACAGAGTTTACTTTACACTGGTCAGCTCACCCTCAATTCACATTCACTTTGGCGGTATCCACGACTCCTGGGCGTCATGCTGCCGATGGAACCGGCACGAGCTCTCATGCCTTGGTCCTGGTTGTTAGACGGCCTACGGGGGAAATAAACACACGATAAAAACATTCAAAGACCAACATATAAAAAAGTAATAAAATCTCGACACTCACATCACAGTAGGTACTGGTGTCCCTCACGTTAAGGAGTTACGTTCCTGAAAAAATTTTTGCAACTCGAAGGATTCCAGTAACTTGTCTCTTATCTAAGCCTTATTTTCCTATATTAAAGAGCCATACTACGGTATATTATATAAGCATATAAGTGAAGATATTTTCTGGAGATTTATACAAGTCAGTTTCAGTACATGAGGAAGTTTACCGACACCACAAAAACTACTTTATGATTTGTTCGTCGAGTGTAATAAACCGGACGCATTAGATCCACAACTCTTTCCAGGCTATTAAGATTTATAATGAGTCAGACAACATATAGATATTATTATATATGAATAAAGTTATCCTCTTATATACAAAATGGGATAAATTATTTATAAACAAGGGAGAAATAAGATGCCATGTCACACACCACTCTTGGGGGCTACACACTCAAGAGAGGTTTACTGAAGCTGTGAGTTAGGACATTACCAAGTGACCCTGATCTTTGACCTAATGACCTAACCTAACCTAATCCATCCCAACTCAAGCTAAGCTAACTTAACCAACACACGGTTTTTTTCCTCAATGGCTGTCGCTCCTCTCTGACAAGGCGACTCAATTTCCATTTAATTTACTTGTGTCACTTTGTATAACCTGACAATCATTTATCACGGTACAGTAAACCTTCTCAAGAAAACAATCCTCCCAATAATGAACAGAGGTTGAAAGAACTACTCCGTCATTGAGAAGGTTTACCGAGTCACCACACTCTCAAGACCCAAACACTCAATACTTTCTGAATGTCTTTGTTATGTAGATCACTGAAGAGGGAGTTGGTGCCTTATATTTACTAAAATATTTGACAAAAGAGCCACGCACGCACGCACGAACGCACGCACGCACGAACGCACGCACACACACACACACACACACACACACACACACGAGTCCATAATGAAGTAAGGGTAAGCACTTTACGAGCTAATTTTTAATAGTCTCGTTTGTGGTGTTAATTACTTCACTAACTGCGAGTAACATCAAGAGCTGTCAGACCAGAGTATAAACAAGAGTTCTTACCTACGAAACAAGTGACTAGAATCTCCGCTGATTGTCCTAAGACGTTGTCTGAAGGGTTCAACGACTGATAGTTCTGTCTTGGCCTCTTCCTCCTCACCCGCTGATGGCTCCTTATCTCCAGAACCTGCAGTGAGTTAACAGATATTTACATAAACTATATAACACTATAAATTATTCCTCAAGACAAGTGTGACAGAAGAAAAAATCTTCAAAATTCGATGTTACACGATTGTGCCTCATTTAGCATATTTTGACTTAATGGACATGAAAACTACTCATTTTATTAATATTATAAAGTAATATTGTACCATTGCAAAAAGAAAATTTAAAAGAAAAATATTCCATCAACCATAAACGAAAAAATGAAAATATGTCTGAAGCCATCATTGTTTACATCCACTCAGCCAATCAGCGCTCATCTAACCTAACGTGTACAGAGTGTCAAAAATTGTGTTGGTTCTGATCCTGTACTCTTTCCTATTCAACAATCTCCAGTGTGTGTTCAGTGAGAATATGAAGACCCATCATGTGTGGATAATGGTCAGCAAATGAGTGTTGGTAATGCAGCCTACGTGACCAGTCCCAGCACTCTTCTACCCTTATTCTACCCCGAATCCCCAGCCATTCAGAGCAGGAATAGTTTTATATTTTTCACCACTTTAAGCCTTATAAATTAATCTTTACCCCAAAGTATAATACAGTATATCATCAGGTGCAGGGAGTCTGTAAAATATATAGCAATTTTTTGAAATAAATTATGACAAAAACTGAAGGAATACTGAAGAGTAATAGAGTATGTGGACAAAACTTTTATACAGGGTTTATGGTGAGTTATTTTTCTGTGTAGCATCAGTAGCCAGCCACCCATCACTGTCAGTGGTGGGTGACCTGTTACCCTGGCCTCAGTAGGTGACTGTTACCCTGGCCTCAGTAGGTGACTGTTACCCTGGCCTCAGTAGGTGACTGTTACCCTGGCCTCAGTAGGTGACTGTTACCCTGGCCTCAGTAGGTAACTGTTACCCTGGCCTCAGTAGGTAACTGTTACCCTGGCCTCAGTAGGTGACTGCTACCCTGGCCTCAGGGGTGACCTGTTACCCTGGCCTCAGTAGGTGACTGTTACCCTGGCCTCAGTAGGTGACCTGTTACTGGCCTCAGTAGGTGTTACCTGGCCTCAGTAGGTGACTGTTACCCTGGCCTCAGTAGGTGACTGTTACCCTGGCCTCAGTAGGTGACTGTTACCCTGGCCTCAGTAGGTGACTGTTACCCTGGCCTCAGTAGGTAACTGTTACCCTGGCCTCAGTAGGTAACTGTTACCCTGGCCTCAGTAGGTGACTGTTACCCTGGCCTCAGTAGGTAACTGTTATCCTGGCCTCAGTAGGTGACTGTTACCCTGGCCTCAGTACAAAATATTAACCAGGGGCCAGATGACTTACAGTAAGTCCCTACGATCAACCTCAAGGCTCAACGGGTGACTTACTGACAGCTTAGGGTGACTGTAACCCAACTTATCATACAGCAAAAGTTACGGTGGCCACCGAGCACCCGTAAGCTTTCACAAGGAGGAAATAACTCCCGTTTTCTTTACCATACAACCCGTCAAGACACACACGGCTGCCAGACGTACAGTACTTCAAGCGTCACCAGTAAGAGTGAAGATGTAACTTAAGGTTGCTCCAGCTCATGACCGAGCATTCCAAAGAAAGAATGTTTGGGGATCCTTTGGACCCATTACAAATTGTTGACCACCTATTGCTATGTAGGGATAAGCTCTGAGTAGATCAGTCTGTGTTAATAGCTTTGATGCTTCTTGCAAGTGGTAGTTTCCATAGTGTAACTGATGACGTTACTTTCAAGAATTATATAGGGCATTTACATAATAATAATAATAATAATAATAATCATATTATCATTATTAGGTTCACTATTATTAATATAATACAGTATTGTTATTACTATTATTATTATTATTATTATTATTATTATTATTATTATTATTATTATTATTATTATTATATTACAATTATTATTATTATCATTATTACTATATTACAATTATTATTATATATATATATATTTTTTTTTTTACTTGTATTAACATTATTATTATTATTAACGAAAAACCCAAGGGAGAAATTCAGCCGCCTTTTCTTTTAAACTATTGGCCCTCCATTGTTCTTATCACGTGTGACTATGTGTCGTCTGCTGGCATGGGTAACTTGTGTTTCAGCCACGGTGATTGGTTTAGGAAGGAAACAAAAAAAATACACCCAAACTCCATCTTGTGGTAGCTTACTGAACTAAACTTATTTGCGGTCGCCGTACGAACCTTTAGTGAATCGCCTATTGCCAACATCGTGCGGTCGCCGTAGCCTCTCAAGATATGGGAGAGATACGACCAAAGTTACGATCAGTTTAGCGAATTTGGAGCCAATTCAACAAAACCAACAGCAGATCATTAATACTCACCTTCAGTAGTGGAGTTTTCCTGCTCCCCCTCCGTGATGCTGGAGGACCTGAGGTAGGGGACCATCTCAAGAGGGGGCAGCAAAGGTGTGGGGCCGTCCACAGGTTGTGGCACTATATTGGTCTGCCTAGATAGAGGGTTTGTTGTTTTGGTTGGTGACTCAGGAGGCTGTTCAGTGCTGGACCAGAGGGAGAACCTCACTTTGGGATGCTTCTGTGAATCTTGGTCTTGTTTACCCTGATCACCAGAGCTCACCTTACCATAATCCTGATGAAATAATACAACTCTTGTTTACTGTGACAACTCTATTTACCGGGCTATATGGAGAGGAAAGTCCGTTATATGAGGGTCCAATAGATGTGAGACCCCATCTACTGGACCATATGGAGAGAGAAGTGCGTTATATGGAGGTCTCGCTGTCTACAGAATTATGTATATTAAAATATTTTTCAATTTTAGGAAATGTAAGTTTATCAGCTGAAAAAACATAAGATGTGACAAACCGTTAATGTTACCAAGATAACTCATGAGGGGTTATATACTGTATACACACAAGCCTCACACACACAAGCATATAATATAAAACATGGATAATAACTGATTATTAAATTATCTATGTATCAGTGATTAATAATACTGTGGGGGCCATGGCCACTACAATGCAAGCCGGAAAACAGACACACCTACCCTAGAGTTGCTGCGGCTGCGAAAACCCATGTCTGGGTCAGATACCAGACTAGGGAAGACAATGTTTGGGACGGACACTCCGCTCCCCTCCTGCTGGTATGTTATTGTGGCACCACTTGGCTGTGACCGACCCCCCTGTGGAACAGCTTAACGGTGAGTCACATAACACAGATCAAGAGTCACATGGCCATAACACAAGTCAAGAGTCACACGGCCGTAACACAAGTCAAGTGCAAGATACTCAAAATACATTATTAACTGTCCAAGTCTCCTTCAACCACATATACTATCATAATATGGCCACCAACCACATATATACTGTACACCCAACCACATACTGTACATATAGGACTACAATATTTAACTGGTGCTGCACACTATTAAACATTTTAATTTTATAATACAAATATGACAGTAATGAAGTCAAGACGTGGTCTACCTCTCCTGATGCGTGACGGTGACGTGTTTTCTCTCTCAGCTTAAATGCAGATAAAGCTTCATCAATAAAGCTGGGTGGCACCTTGGAGTGAGACACCTTAACTCTCCCGACAAACATAACCTGTCGATGTTGAATCACTTAATACACATAACAAATTAAATATAATGTTTCTCTTAATAAACATAACAAATTAAATATTATGTTTCCACAGTACATAAACCTGTCTGAAGAAAGCAACATTGATGACCCACCCAGCCCTGTCTCCTCCTCTGCTTCATCCAATTAATATATTATGGGGCCCCGTGTGCATTCAGCTGACTACATTAAAGGTAAGTGCTCAGTCACACTGTATCCATTTCTCATTATTTATTACTTTTACTGTACAGTACTGTATTTCATTGTAGATTTTTATTTTTTTATTATTATTTTTTTTTTAATCTATGTCGGACTTACGACCATTCCGACTTACGACCTGGATTTGGGTCCCTAACCCCGTCATAAGTCGAGGAGCACCTGTACATCATCTTACTGGCTGTTCCGGCATTTGATCTATTTGTTGCTACAGATAGATTGGTAAAGAAAAACATTATATTTAACTAGCAGAAACGCCGCCCTCCAGGCTGCTCATTCGCTAGGCTCCGGGAGGCTCCACATTGTCTCACTGTTCAGTCCCCAAAACTTCTTCTTCCATCAATAGTTCATTAACGGTGTATGTAAGTTCCACCATGTTTTTCACTACAACGGTACAGCAAAGTATATTTTTTTTGCATTAAACTGTTATTATTTTATCGTCTAATCATCACTACATATAACACCACCCATCATCACTACATATAACACCACCCATCATCACTACATATAACACCACCCATCATCACTACATATAACACCACCCATCATCACTACATATAACACCACCCATCATCACTACATATAACACCACCCATCATCACTACATATAACACCATCCATCAAAATGAGTACAGTAACATGCTGTTCAAAATTAAGGCTTTTTCACAGGGAAAATTGGTCAGGACATTATGGTATCGAATGTTATGCAGTACCAGTATTTCAAATAATTCTTCTACCAGTACCCTTCACATACATTAAAATACTTATTTCTACCTTCCAATTCAGCTTGTCATGGAAGGATGTCATACTGGAAACGTTTCATAGAGGATCATTATGGCATCAAATTCATCATAAATACAAATAGAGTAAAGATTATAACGTTTGTTGTGAGGAACGGAGGGTCCATTGAGGGTCGTGCAGAGATCATGGCAACAATGGTAACAGAGACGCTACACAAATATTCCTATGATATAGCGAACATAAGACTTGCGTTGCCACTCCTAACCATCTCACATGATTTTAGACATCATTATCGAGCTTTTCCAGAAAAAATAAATAAACTTTTTGGTAACCAGAGAGAAGTATCTAGGTTTATTATATGGAACCACACAGGGTTTAAGGGAGAGAGAGAGAGAAGTCGCCTCCTTCACACAATGTAGGAGGTTGAGTCGACGGCCATTTTGAATTGAATCTTCACAAAGAGCGAGACGTAGATTAAAAAAAATCCTATATTGAGTACCTAAAGAATCCTGCCCATACCTATTGAGTGACCACAAGAGAAGTCACGGGGTAAAAAAAAAAAAAGTCACAATTTTGGCTTTGTTAAGTCAGATTAGGTGGTGAGGTTAGGTTAGATTGGGTGAGGTTAGGTTAAATTATTTGAAGTTAGGTGACATTAAGTGAGGTTAGGTTCAGTTATGTGAGGTTAGGGTAGGTGAGGTTTATATCAGTGGCATTTTAATTTTCTGTACGTTCGTGATGAGTTTACCAATCAATTAGTGGTGTTATTATTATTATTTATATTATTATTTTTCTTTTCTTATTGTTAAAAGGTTTACTTGGAATAATTTATTAGCTCAGGGGGAGGCGATCACCCCCCCCCCCTCAGTACGCCTTTGACAAAATCCACGTGATGACCTCATCTGCCGGAACACAAGGTATTAACCCAGGTGTCTTCAGGGCAGCCTTTAACACAACTTCAATGTATTAACAATCAATTGGATACATGGATAGATTTGTTCACATCTCTGAAGGTTTATTAGTCAAATGTTGGCAAGACGGGAAGTAGTCTTATAATGGTAACAACATAGTGACTGACCCCTAGAGTCAGATACAAGCCAGTAACTCTCATTAACTCTGTATCAAGAACTGTAATGGTTAAGTTCCCATCAGATATATTGGATCTGACAGATATTAGGAACTCCAGTTTATTTTACCAGATGACTAAACAACCTGATGTTACCTTGGGGAGGGGGTGGGGAAGGTAGTGTCAGGGTAGCATTAGGGTGATTCATTATAAGCCTTTGGGAGCTAAACTGGAGGTGACCTTAAGTATGATACAAGCTCATGGTGCGAATTATTAGGTTTCCACTCACCTCAAAAAACTGTGACTCATTATGAACATAGAGGTCGGGGAGAGAGTTGAGAGAGCTCACTGATGACGGCTCTGTGTTTGGCTGTGCATCTTTGGGCTGCTGACGCAAACACGAGAAAAAGTTACGAACCTGAGGAGAATAATTTAAGGCATTAGAATTATGTAGCAGAAAAAAATTACGTTTCATATATGAATCTCTGTCGATGTACATTGTATCTCTGTCTATGTACATTGTATCTCTGTCTATGTACATTGTATGCCTACATTGTCTCTGTATACTGTACACCTATAATGACTACAGTACAGTACAACCTTTATTATCTTGGGTAACCGGCAGATTCAACTAACCTGCACCAAAATTAAATAATAATAACAATGAAAATTCTTCCCAAATCAGCTATTATTGTGAGTTTGAATACTGCACACAACAAGGAGGAGCTGCCATATTTATTGCTATGATAAAAGATAAAAGCCAATCTATCACAAATTACATATAATACTGTAGCAAATATTTTATGTATAAAAATAGCTCCTTCCACACTTAAACCATCGTCTGGGCACAGTTCAGCCAGGCAGTGACCCAGCTGACCCTCAGACGTGTGGCTGCTGTGCTGCGTGTATGGCAGGACGTCACATCAAGAGGGAGGGAGCGCGGCCACACAGTCACCGCCCCCCTGCACGCTTCCCACCCATCCTCTTCATTTGTTCTCAATTTATAGTTTAATAATATTTCTAAGTCACATCATTTATGTATAGTGGAAGAAGTGTTACAGAAGCTCATTTAGGTCTGACATGAATTTGTGAGGTCAGCCTGTAGTACTGTGTAAGGTCATCCTGTAGCACTGTGCAAGGTCAGCCTGTAGCACTGTGCAAGGTCAGCCTGTAGCACTGTGCAAGGTGCAAGGCCAGCCTGTAGCACTGTGCAAGGTCATCCTGTAGCACTGTGCAAGGTCAGCCTGTAGCACTGTGCAAGGTCAGCCTGTAGCACTGTGCAAGGTCATCCTGTAGCACTGTGCATGGTCAGCCTGTAGCACTGTGCAAGGTCATCCTGTAGCACTGTGCATGGTCAGCCGGTAGCACTGTGTATTGTAGGATATATTGGTGCATCCTACGAGTGAGTTTCAACTACCCAGAAAAACTCTTTATCCGGCACCTCTCAATCCCCGTAGGTCCTGGATAACGGTGGAGCTACAATCCAGTACAGTATATACCTACTGAATCAGTGTAAACTTCTAATGACATTGAAAATTTTACCAAACATCTATCTTTTTATCTATCTACTACAGGGGGTATCTATATATCTACTATCTATGTCCCACATATGTGTCTATGTACCTATGTTCTATTTATCTACCCCTACATCAAGCACCAAGAGTGATTAATCTTCACTCATATGTAATCTCTCTCCGTCACTTACTCTCATAACTTATCAACACTGTTCATAAATAACAGAGGAAATAACTTCTTACTGCACCAAGTGTGAAAGACGAGGGTTACATCACTCTCTCTACCCACACCTCACACTACTACACCCACACCTCACACTACCACACCTCCCTTCATTATAAACATTTAACAAGGTCTTATTTCTTCATACAGAGACACACGTTAATACACTGGACTGTACTGACATAGTTAACTTACTTGTTGCTCATCAGTAGCCTGCAGCAGATGACAATGATAATTCTGATCAAGAGGAAGGTTATCGGGGATAAGTTGTGTTGGGTCAGCGGCAGCCACGTAGCCAGGGGCGCCACACAGACCTCCATATTCCTTATCTACAGGTTTGAGCGTGTACAGGAAGCACGTGTGATCTGCCTGCTCCATAACACACTTGTGAATCTGTTTTACCGTGTGACTTATGACCACCACCCCAGATGACACTTCACGTACTGTAACATTCCCACGGTTAATCTCCACAGTCACCTGAAAATATATGATTGATGCACAATATTCTTCAGCCCACTACTTCAAGAATCATAAGCATTTCCACAGACAGTGTTACAGAAAACAACAGAATCTCTATTTGCAATGTAAATAACTCTATAAAAATATTTATATACAATACTGTAGTATGAAAGTATTCGCACAGAGCGTATCAGTACAATTATGTAGAGTATGTAGTGTTAACAGTACAGTATGTAGTGTTAACAGTACAGTATGTAGTGTTAACAATACAGTATGTAGTGTTAACAGTACAGTATGTAGTGTTAAGAATACAGTATGTAGTGTTAAGAATACAGTATAACTTGACACAAGATAAATACATATGTCATCCACAATTCAATTACTTATATCAAGTTAATAATATGATCTGGGTCAACTCACCTCGACTGACTTCTGGCGATTCTTAATCTCCGAGATAATCCACGGTAACATGGGCTTAGAGTAGTGCCGATCTACTTCTGTGCTGCCTCGGTATACCAGGGAGAATGTCTTCCCCGACTCTGCCCACGCCCCGGCACCGTCCGCCCCCTCCATCGTGCTCGCCGGTTTCTTTGCTAGAGTATCTCGGTAGTGAAGAATTCCTCCTTCTCCCTCATTACACCCATCTTCAAGTCTATATGCCTGTGGAATAAAGTTACCCTCAGTAATAAAGTCAGCTCTCACCATCAACATACTGTACCGGGTATTATTTGTGTCCTGTCGCCTCTCCTCCTGAACCATGAACCTCGAGATTCAGACTCATGAACCCGGAACAGAAGACGCCTATGCATTATTGTGTCCAAATATTCAGCAGGACCTCTGTTGTTCACGACTGTACATGATGACTCAGTCCAGTCCTTGGTAAATGTTGTGTAATTAATGTTGTTAAAAAATATATAATGGTAGTGTACAGGTAGTTCTGCTATAACGCGATAATTGTGTTCTTGTAAAATATCGTGTTATAGAAAATCGCGTAATAGAAATAACAGGGCTTATGGAGAAAATAGGGTTAGGTGCAGATTACTCGAAATCGAAAACATTTAGTAGTTAGCCTAACACAAAGGATAGCACAGTCTAAATAAATGTTACATTCATATCTAATAATGAAATCATACAGTAAATGTTACACTTTACTTGATGGGGGAGAAGGGTGATTTTGAGGTTGATAAAATCGAGCTTCTCTTCAAGTGTTATATCCTTTCTTTTACGATCATCACCGGGAATTCTATCACCAGAACGCTTCTTGTTGATATTCTTCTTTACTATATTCACATTATTTAATTTTTTTTTTTTTTCTAATTTATTGTTTTTTTATTACAAATATTAATGATATTCTTTATTTCAGGGGTTTAGATGCATATTTATGCACTTTTTTACAATTTTTACAATTTTATATTATATTTTTCAGTGTTAAGTGGTTGTATTTGGGGGCCTGGAACGGATTAATCCTATAACGAATGAATGCTATAACGAACAAGGTTCTAGAACCAATTAGATTCGTTATAGCATACCCCACTGTACCACAAAATTGGAGAAATAGTAAGCAAAAATCGCGTTATATCAAACAAGCATTCGCGTTATACAAATATCGTTCCTAATTCATAAATCGCGTTAGAGCAAATTCGCGTTATCAAAACACGCGTTATAGCAGAACTCACTGTATATAAAACAGCTTTCACCCACACAGACTACTCCTCAAGTCTCTATAGGTTCATCTGGTCTACACTTGGTTCTCCCAGTTTTATATTTATCATTTATTAGCCTACTTGCTATTTGGGCAGTTGCTTTGTTACTTTATTATGAACTTGATTATGCTATACAGTATATATGCACTGTGTACTGTCCACAATTACTGAGTTAGTCATATTAACATCAGTGTCAACTTGCTCTGCCCACTAACCCTGCCAACACCTAGTAGCTGCTGCGTTATTGTCACTATTTTAGTTCAAACCTCAACAAATTTCTTTCTACAAACTGATATACTTGTACTTCACATTTTTCTCTCTCCAAAATTGATCAGGTTTTCCACTTGTCAGTTTTCTTACAAAGGGTCTTGCCGCCACAATTTCCCTGAGACACGCTCCTGCCGTCCAGCACCATGGCAGTGAAGCAAACGAAGATTGTCACATAATGGGTTACAGGCAGTACGTACCAGCTTTACAAGAAGGTTCCATCTATGGAAAATATTTCATAAATCAATTTTCATAAATTAGATACAGTATGTTTCTACAAAAAATCCCCAAATGTCTTAAAAACGTTACAAAATTTGTTAATGACAATCTTTGGTGTAAACAATGATTGTAAGCAAATAATAAACATAAGAAAAATATTGTACTGTATTATTGTAGCAGGCAAGTACTGTCACACTGCTTAAATGTTCTTAACCCTTTTGTTGAGGCTGTATAGTATAACACACGTTCCTGATGAGCTTAAATGCGACTGTATTATACGTAATTATTTTTTTACCAAGTTGAAATATGTATTGTTGAACTATGCATGAAAAAAATAATAATTGGAAATGTCCGCACACAGGATATCCTACTGATTACCTCGAGAAAACTACTACAGTAATTAAATGAAGGTGCTGCAATCTTTGCTCTTAAGAGTTCTCCTGTGTGTGTCAAGAGTTTGAGTCCTGCTTGGCCCAGACACATGTGAGAAGGGTGAGTGTTATCATCACCACCAAACATGACAGGTGCTCCTCCAGGCACTACACTGCTAACACTTAAGAGACCAACTGTCCAGTATCAGTACCGTCCAGCTCTCAACTCAACTGCAGGGAGTGCTTGCTGCATATATATCATTACACCATATATTTTTCTCATATTTATTAGTTAATAAAAGTCTTTTTGGTATTTTGTGTTTCTCTCAGGTACCAAACTAAATTATTCCACTGAAACAACACTTTGATTTTGTGCGAATTCGATTTAAAGCGACCTCTCTTGGAATGTATCTCACATTATGTCGATGTTCTACTGCAGAATTAACCAATGGTAGGGAAAAATTAATCCCAGGAGTAATACATAGACCTCGTCATCTTGATAAGAGTTAATGAGCGACTTATTTGGGATGACAAGCGCAGGGCATCAAGACATAGCAAAGTCTGAATAGTAGGCGACTTTAACTTTAGTCAAATAAATTGGACCGACCTTACGGGTAACTCAGACCCAGAGGATTTTCTTGAAACAGTTCAGGACTGTTTCCTAAGCCAACATATAGCCGAACCCACCCGGGGTAATAATATACTTGATTTAGTTCTGTCAAACAGAGAAAACCTCATTAGTAATGTTGAGGTAGGGAAGGAACTAGCTAACAGCGATCACAATGAAGTGAGATTCAAAGTAGAATTTAATATCAGTTGCAAGGGAAACTCCATTAAAGTCCCAGATTTCAGAAGGGCAAACTTTGATAGTTTGAAGAGGAAGCTGAGAGAAGGGGTATCACGCTTGGGGGTGAATTACATGACCTCACATGAGGTGACCTCACACAATGTACACACAGAGGGCGACCTCACTTTACCCGGTGACCTGACAATGATAACCTCACAAAATATGACGGTTGAGGATGACATGATCACGAGATCGGAGGTTGACGAGTTCCACAACAATTTAAATAATGAGTTACTTAATGCACAAAGGCAGAACATACCATACAGAAAACTCAGATCAAACAACAATGACCCTAAATGGATAAATAATTATTTAAAGAATATTATTGGACAAAGGAAGGCTTTAGGTAGGAGATTAAATCGTGGTGAAGTTTACCCCCGAGATTATTATAAGGTATTGGCCGGTAGGGTTAAGACCGAGATAAGAAAAGCAAAGAGGAATAATGAACTGAAGGTAGCAAGGGAGGCAAAGTCAAACCCCAAAGGATTCTATCAAATGTATCAAACTAAAACACGAGAAAAGACTGGACCAATACAGTCAGATACCGGTGAGCTAACTGATAACGACGGAGAAATGAGCAATAATCTGAATAAATATTCTTCAACAGTTTTCACCACCGAAAATTTAAACATGATAACCGAGGCACCGACTCTATTCAGAGATAGTGAAGAAAATAGATTAAGCGAGATAGTAGTGACTAATGACAATGTTAGTAAGCAAATAGACAAACTAAAGCCTAATAAGTCACCAGGTCCCGATGAGATATTTGCCAGAGTATTAAAGGAATGTAGGGAAGAGCTTAGTATGCCCTTAGCAAAGTTGTTTAACATGTCATTAAAAACGGCTGTAGTACCAGAATCCTGGAGGATAGTGAATGTGATACCGATTTTCAAGAAGGGGAATAGATCACTATCCTCTAACTACCGTCCAATCAGCTTAATATCAATTGTATGCAAATTGGTGGAAGCAATAATTTCAAACTCTATTCAAAATCACCTGGAGAAGCACAAGTTATGAATGTGAATCATGGTTCATTGATCAATTTCTATTCACATACTCATAAAACTCGTCCTTCACACTGACTCAACCCTCGGTGTTCACTCATTCACTCGCTTTGTATTTCAGTGAACCAAAAGTGACATAAAACATCTCACTCATTCCTGAACCTCTAGTCAGCTACTGTTTGAAGTGTGCAAGGTGGCCGAGTTAGTAATGTGTGGGCCCAGTTGGAGATACACTGTTTGGTATGGATGACTGCTCTCACATCCACAAAAAAACGTAAAATAACACCATATCACAATAAGTTCATTCTGTTTAATAAGTCAGGGGTTCAGGGGGGAGGAGCCCACCTTGGAAGTTAAGTAAGGTTAGGTAGGTTTGTTTAGTGAAGTCTTCTAATGCTACTTCTGCTGCTTGTTTTTCATATCAACTAAGGTTAGGTTAGGTTAGGTTAGGTTAGGTTAGGTTAGGTTAGGCTAGGTTAGGTTAGGTTAGGTTAGGTTAGGTTTCATTTACAAATAACCAATTTTAACACATCTGCACAAACTACGACAATTTCCACTATAAAACACTGCGAAATTGTGGCATTTTTATATTCGTTTTCTATGAAAAATCAGCTGCGGGTCAGTCAATACTTACCAGTGGTTCATTATGGTGAGTGTGCACTGTTATGGTGTTAACATTAAGCACTGTTATGGTGTTAACATTAAGCACTGTTATGGTGTTAACATTAAGCACTGTTATGGTGTTAAGTGATTCATTAAGCACTGTTATGGTGTTAACATTAAGCAATGGTGTGATTCATTATGGTGAGGTTGTGCACTGTTATGGTGTTAACATTAAGCACTGTTATGGTGTTAAGTAATTCATTATGGTGAGGTTGTGCACTGTTATGGTGTTAACATTAAGCACTGTTATGGTATTAAGTGATTAATTATGGTAAGTTTATGTACTGTTATGGTGTTTTTAAGCACTGTTATGGTGTTAAGTGATTCATTATGGTGAGTTTCAATACTACGCCACACTAACACAAACTCCCACTACATTACCCACTCATTCCTTCACCATTAACACAATCTCCTCACCTTAAGATATAATATTCCCACCACTTTACACCTCTAGGTTGTTCTCTGCCTTAAAGACCATTAACCATTAGGTGTAGTTTATTATATCTGGTAAAATAACTTGATGGTACAGGACTAGCCTTGAGGACACCAGGGGCTTGAGACACCTGGCTTAGACACACCTGGCTTCATTCTCTTATTATTCCTTATTTATTGGATTTACTCTTATTTATTATTATTATTTTTGTTTTTTATTGATATTTGAGTATATGTAGTATCTTATTATGTGTTAATTATCGTATTTTTTATTATTTTTCATTATTTTTTATGGATCAAATAATTTTTTTAACTATATATTTTTTCTATTAAGCTTAAATAATTATTATATATTTTGTTTATCTTTCTTTTTTTTTAACTTTTTTCATTGATCTCTTCACCTCTAATGGCCTCGTTAGCACTGGCTCACCTCTAATGACCTAGTTAGTACTGCCTCAGGTACAGATACATTCAGTAATTATCAATAGTGTGTAACAACTTGACTAACCACCCAAGAGGCTAATGATCAGTAGTTAAGAGGATAAAGTATAGTCAACAATTGTGATGTGTGGGAGACCTGGATGTGGTTGCCAACTAGTACTTTATTAAGGGTTCGGTATTAAGGGTTCATGTTGTGGGGTTCATATAAAGGGGGTCAGCTCGTGGTCTCCTCTTACAGGTATACTAATACATATTTTCCTCATTAGTAGTTAAGGTTAGGTAGTTAAGGGTACAAGTTAACTATCTATGATGATGTTAACTACCAATTCAGGGTATAGACCAGTAGTTTACCCTTATTGTTGGTATATAAGGGGTATATTTTATTAGGTAATTAGTGGGTACAAATTCCTATTCTTATATAATTACATAAACTTAAGATTAAATGTTAAAAGTTAAGTAATTTTGGTGTGAAATTTTTTACTTTTGGATATGAATCCCTTAGGGGTTGACCAATATGTTTTTCTAGTGTATTTTGGTGAGTTTTAAACCAATAGGACCTTAATTTTTGGTTAAAGTACATACACCCCCCCTCCCTCCCCCTAACTATAAGGGGGAAAACTTGTGAAATCGGGGTTTTAGTTAGGGGGGAGAACACAAAAACCCGAGTACCTAACCTAACCTAACCTAACCTAACCAGTCCCTAACCTAACCTAACCAGTCCCTAACCTAACCTTTGGGTCGCGCCATGTCCGAGATCACGTATTAAAACTCGCCCTCGACCACGACCATTGTCACACTGGTCCTTGAATTTCCAAGATGTAGGTTTGCAAATCCTTACCCAGGCTGCTTTGAAAAATGTAAATGTGATTGGTCAAAAAAAATTCACGGGTTGACAGACAAAGACTGAAAACTTCCTAAAATCAATTAAATTCAATTGTGTCGCTATTATTCATTTCCACCAGGTATATATGGGGTTCAAAATGCTCAGAATATTGAGATCTAAATGTTTAAGTTGTGTATAACTTTCAGGGGCATTATGTCTGAAGGTAAAATAACACCTCATGGATAAATAAGTAGATAGAGATGTGGATATTCTTTTAGTGTAATCCTCTGCGAGTAACATTGATTCAGCCGTAATCCTGGAGATAATACCAGAAGTAGTAATTAAATTTACTGTAATTTTTCCACCGTTGTTATCATTACAGTAACCAGTTTATAAGAAGTAACATTGGTAATTATTTATGACTTCACAGCCGCTGACTTATCGGGGAAAACTAATTTAATCATACCACAATTTCACACGGGGTCTGCCCATATCACCACAGCTTTACCCATTTCGTCACCAAAGTTTTACCCATTTCGTCACCACAGCTTTACCCATTTCGTCACCACAGCTTTACCCATTTCGTCACCACAGTTTTACCCATTTCGTCACCACAGCTTTGCCCATTTTGTCACCAGAGCTTTACCCATTTCGTCACCAGAGCTTTACCCATTTCGTCCCCACAGCTTTACCCATTTCGTCACCACAGCTTTACCCATTTCGTCACCACAGCTCTACCCATTTCGTCACCAGAGCTTTACCCATTTCGTCACCAGAGCTTTACCCATTTCGTCACCACAGCTTTACCCGTTTCGTCACCATGGTATACAGTGCTGGCAGACCGTGGGAGTATACTGTGTGCAGGTAAACAACAATGGTAAAGAGTAAGGCAACTTGACCAAGGATAACTGTCAGCTGTTTATTCCCAGGAGGTCCTTCACTTAGGCTTACCCTTGGTCTCTAGTCAATAATGTTATCCTTGTTGCATTACCCTATGATTGCTGTGGTATTTGCCAATATTGGCGAGAGTAACACATTATTGGTCAGGTTTTGTTCTGTTTTGGTTAATGATGTAATTGATAATTATTGTAGTTAGTGTTGTTTCATGTTTTTGTATTTATTTATTTAATTAAGTAAAGGATTGTTTTTCTGTGATACTGTACATGTCTGTGTTGGGCAGGCCAGGAATGTATCCCATTGACACCCATGTTAATTGACCCCTGATTATGTTGTTTTTATTTGTGTTTGAGTCTCCAGGAACACAACCCTATCATAAATTGGAAGATGTTTGTACTGTACTGATAAAAGATGACTGTATGGTAAGACTGTCGAGAGGAACACAACCCTATCATAAATTGGAAGATGTTTGTACTGTACTGATAAAAGATGACTGTATGGTAAGACTGTCGAGAGGGACACTACTGTATAGCCATCTGTTGAAGTAATTAAGAGTTCCGTTCCAGAAAATCCTCCGTAAATTAACCCTTCATCTAACAATGGACACCTGTTCTGTACGTACTGTCTATAAGGAGATAATGGTGTTACTAAGGGTCGAGGACAATTGTACGAATAATTCATGATATATAGACACAAATGTTAATATTTTCAATTATCTCAACTTATCACAATGGGGACGCCACTTGTAAGACCCAGCACACAAGGGATTCATTATTGTAGTATGAGGTGCAATGGGTGAGTGGATACAGCACTTACCTCCTGTCCTAATGGTAGCTGGTTCACCCCAGGAATAATAATCTATTCAATGAAATCATCTCACATGTTTACAGTTGGTTTGGCAGTACAGTGCAGTATTGAACAGACAATTCACATACTGTACAGTGCAGGTACTGTACTGTACATTACTACTATGGTTCTGTATGTATATTGACAATGTAGGTATACAGTTCAACATGTGTATAGACAGCACAGGTATACAGTACAGTGGACATAGATGCAGGTACATAGTGTCCTATGTACCTAGACAGTACAGGAATAGTAGACAATTTCCAAGGTACACAGACAGTGTAGGTTTAACAAAATAGTTAACAGTTAGGCAGTTTGACCAAAGTTGACAGACAAAGCCATCAGATGCTCATTCCTGAGGCCTTTAGCATACATCAGGGCCTGAGGGGCAAAAATATAATAATAATAATAATAATAATAATAATAATAATAATAATAATAATAATAATAATAATAATAATAATAATAATAGATAATAATGATAATAATATTAATAAAAATAATACTAAAAATAATATAATAATAATAAAGGACCATAAATAAATACAAAAATTAAAATAAAGATCAATAGTGAGAAACAATATATGTATGTTGTGTCGTCAATAGTAAGAGAAACACTTGAGACCCTACAATTGTGTGTAAATGAGGCAGAAAGTCAGATCATCAACCTGGGACTTGGTCACAGATGGCAGCAGGGTCTACCATTAGACAACACATTATGCTGCCATTATCTTCCCAGGTGGTTTCTACCTTCCCATTCGGAGATGCTGCACAGATCCGCATTGATAGATGAAATGATATTAGCTCTAGAAACAGATCTAGCTTGAGAGTTAGGAGGAAGGGGAAAATGTGAAGAAGATTGATGAGTAGAATCATCAGCGTAAGAATGGATAGAATTAGTTATAGTGTGAAGTAAATCATTGATAAAAAGAAGGAAGAGAGTAGGTGAAAGAACAGAACCCTGTGGAACACCACTATTGGTAGACAAAGAGCGAGAGATCGATCCCTTGACAACAACTGCCATGGATCGGTTCTCAAGGAAGCTAGAAATTAGAGAACAAAGTGGGGGAGAGAAACCATAAGAGGGAAGTTTACAAAGCAAAGACTTGTGCCATACCCTGTCAAATGCTTTGGAGATGTCGAGGGCCATGACGAAAGTTCCCCATAATCCCTAAGAGAGGATGACCAAAGATGGGTGCAGTAGGAGAGCAAATCACCAGTAGATCTCGCCTGGCGAAAGTCTTACTGGTGATCCTACAAAAGAGAATGGTGTTCAAGGTGACGGAGAAAATGGGAGTTCATGATAGTTTGGAAAATCATAGTTACAATGCTTTAATGTACAGTATTTCCTCTGATGTTTAGAGTCATGTGTGTCATATAATGTTGAGTGCATGTTTAGTACCACCACAGCTCACCTTATCATAACAGACTCTACTAATGCTTTATATCATGGTTCAGGTAAACTCGTGGATGCGTCGAGATAATACCCAGCCGTGAAGATACAATTTAATGCCATATAGTACAGATTAAGGCGTTCATTCCCTCAAGATAACAGACTGGGCACTGAGGTCATGGCATCTAATAATGGAACCAAGAAGTTTCTACAGCAAATTATGACTGTTTTGGCAGAGAGTGGAGGCTTCGATAGGAATTTGTCCAAAGTAAGTGTAAAATGTGTAATATTTTTTGACACTTGGTTGTATGTGACACCCCAGACATTTGGGATCATCTGTAGATTAACCCTCCCTCTAGCTTATTTCACTTTAAAATTAATCACCCTTATGCTAACCTAACCCTGCTGGTAGCATTGAGGTGTTATTCTTCAGGTGAAATAAGCTGGGAGGCTAATCTTCTGATGATCTGACAATTAGGTGTAGTAGGGTGTGTCTTTTGCCATACTAATAATAATAGCTGGTGTCTTGCTCCTCACTAGCACCTGAAACACTACAAAGTCAAACACTTGAGGAATAATGTACAATAAAATATAACAAAAAGTGACAGTTGATATAACCTTAAGATGTAACACTTCGTAAACCCTGTAATTCTCCACCACTGTACAGTACCTTCTACAGGGTCATAGGTTACAGTACCTTCTTCAGGGTCATAGGTTACAGTACCTTCTTCAGGGTCATAGGGTACAGTACCTTCTTCAGGGTCATAGGGTACAGTACCTTCTTCAGGGTCATAGGTTACAGTATCTTCTTCAGGGTCAAAAGCTTGGAATGCTGTACAGATGCCGTAGCTACTTCACTCCTGAGCAGTTGCTTCAAGCATACAAGGGATTCATTCGTTCTAACTTGGAGTACTGCTCTCATATCTGGGGTGGCTCTTCAACTGTTAGATAGGGTGGAATCAAAGTCATTTCGTCTTATTAACTCTCCTCCTTTAGTTGATATTCTTTCTTCCATTTCTCTTTGCCGCAATGTTGCTTCACTCTCTCTCTTTTACAGGTAATTTAACGGGCAATGTTCGGTGGATTTGGCATCCTGTGTAGCACTGGCCGTTTCTCTGTGGATGTCGGTCACACTAGATTAACCCATTGTAGTACCTCCTTCTTTCCTCACACAGCCAAACTGTGGAATGCTCTGCCTTCTTCTGTGTTTCCATATTCATTCAATGTCTCTAAAGCACTATGGACTGCTATAAACTTAAATCAAACTATGTGATGTTTATACTCAAATTAATCACTATCTTACAAGGATTCCAGCAATGCAATTTACCCCCTGTATATTCTGCTAAGTCTAGTCAGCGACATTTTATAAGATAAAAACTTTAAGCCTAGGACCACCTTCACCCTGGCTGGGAGGGAAGTTAAGTGCCTCCTCATAATTTTGTCTGGACTAAAGGAGGTGCCGGACTCATCAGTTCCCAGACCATCGATGATGTACCTGTACTGGAATCAAGTAGGAAATCATATACAGTATAGTAACATTATACTAACACAATATAGTAACATTATACTAACACAATATAGTAACATTATACTAACACAACTCCCCCTCTGATCAGAGCAGCTGATGGCTTGTGTATATTTTGGTCAAGAGAATTACCGACGGGATGTAAAACTCGTAATATTAGCTGTGATGTTTTTTGTTGCCATGATCGGTCACCAGGGTGTAGCACCATCGCTATTGGTTTGGCATCATCGACTTATTGCAAATGGCTGACTGGCGGCTGAACTCTCTGTTAACATTTCTTTAATCTTTCTAGGGGCATTTTTTCATTTAGATAATAAACAAATGTTTCTTAAAGGTAACACAGTTGTTAAATAATGTAAGACATGTATCTGGTGTGGGTTATGTATGCTGGGGAAGGAGGTACAGTGAGACGTTGTGAGCTTCCCTCTGCCGTTAAGCCAATGTAAGCCATTATTTATGTCTTTGGCAAATTTGTTGTAAGTTTGTGATAATTTGGCTAGATAGGCACCTTCGCCTATGGCGCTCGGCCTTCCATCCGTAATATGGACACATAAGACGCAGGGTAATTTGGGATACATTAAAAAATAAATAAAAAACCGCGTCCTATACGCCGGCAAATACGGTAATTGTGAACATCCTGTACAGGCTTCACTCATTGTAGTTACCATTATGTATATTTATAGGTAGTGTAGTGTAGTGTACCTATATCCTCATGTGTACTGTACAGGCTTCACTCATTGTAGTTACCATTATGTATATTTATAGGTAGTGTAGTGTAGTGTACCTATATCCTCATGTGTACTGTACAGGCTTCACTCATTGTAGTTACCATTATGTATATTTATAGGTAGTGTAGTGTAGTGTACCTATATCCTCATGTGTACTGTACAGGCTTCACTCATTGTAGTTACCATTATGTATATTTATAGGTAGTGTAGTGTAGTGTACCTATATCCTGCTGAGTAAAATCATCCGGTGTTATCCAAACAAAGTGGCATCCCTGTAGTGAAGGGAATATCAAGACTACGGTATTATCTATGTTTATTAAGTTCTGTGGCCTCAACTGAATATTAAGACATTTGGGTTTTTACAGGTACGTGTTGTGTCTGGTGGAAACGGCAAGTGCATAGCAGAGATGACGGTTGAGAAAGAGCATACAAACCGAGGTGGAACTTTACACGGAGGTCTTACAGCAACTTTGGTGGACATCGTCTCTACTATGGCCTTAATGACCACCAAACAAGCTGTGCCTGGAGTGTCGGTGGACATCAATGTATCGTAAGTTCTTATACATGGTAAACCCTTGCTAAGTGTGAGGGTTAGGTTCCAAGGAATGACGCAAATTGGCAAAACTGCAAATAGCAGCGTATAATACCTTAGTGCACTACTGGCTTGACTTCTCGGACCATCTTAAGGCTGAGTTCCATGGAAGGGTCGTGGTCAACAATGAAATCAGTTACCACCTTCACGTGTCGAAATAGTTCACCCAAATTGTCCAAGCTCCAACCTTCTTGTTGTAATTCCATAATGTCTTCCTCTTCATCTTCCTCAGCACTCTTTACCAACTCTTCTGTCCGTTCCTCTCCAGCCCATCAATCAGCTCTTCCACGTCTTCAGCAGCCATGTCCACAAACCCCTCAAATGACGTGCAACACTCACAATGTCATTCAGGTCCTTTACTATGGACGGAAATCCCTGGCAGTTATTCACACACTCAGGCCATGAGGTGGGCCATCAAGCATTCACTGTCTCTGGTTTGAGTACATTGATTGATTCACTGATGTTGGTAATGCAGTCCACAATGCTGTGCTCCTTCCAACACTTGCTAACATCAAGGTCAGGGTCTGTGTCCATGGCACTATGGATACGACCAAGACAGAGTCAGGTGTAATATGCCTTGAAGGTGTGTATTACACCCTGATCGAGAGGCTGAATAAGACCAGTGGTGTTAGGGGTAGGAACACCACCTCTATACCTGGATGGTTAAAGTGTAAACTTTCTGGGTGGCTTGGTGCATTGTCTATCAATAATAACACCTTGAATTCCATCTTCTTGGAAGCAAGGTATTTTTCCACTTCCAGGATGAAGCATTTATGGAACCAGTCCAGAAATGCTTGGACAGCTACCAATGCCTTTTTGTGGGACTGAAAAAAGACTGGCAAAAGGTTCTTGTTTTTACTCTTTAAAGCCCTAGGGCTTGTTGAGTGGTAAAGCAAGCCAGGCTTGATCATGTGGCCAGCTGCACTGCCACAGAAGATGAGTGTCACTCTGTCCTTGGCTGCCTTGAGCCCAGGGATACGCCTCTCCTGATTGTTTATGTACGATCTCCCAGGCATCTTTTTCCAATATAATCCGGACTCATCGGCATTAAACACTTTTTTTTTTTTACGGGGAATAGCCCACCCTGGCACAGGTCATCGACCCACAATGGAGTCTAGGGGAAGAAAAAATAAGAGGAAAAAGAAATATCTTTAGCTTTGTGGGAAATGCACCTGCGGTTGTATGGTCAGCTGATGCGGCCTCCCCAGTCACTGGCACTAAAAGTTGGTTCAGTCACTACACCAGCCCCTTCACCACCTGACCATAAAGACTTTTAGTCTTCTCATGAATCAAGTTGCTGTTGATCAGAACAGTTTTGTGGTGCTGGTCCTCAACCCAAATGTTCAGTGCTTCTTCTGTTTTTACTATGTTCTTGTCATGAACAACCTGCACCACTTCAGCACTCGCTTGAACAGAATCACAAATTGCTGGTTCATTTTTCCTCATGTACCTCACTGTGGACTCGTTCACACCAAACAACTGACCAGCCGTGGCAGCACTCATCCCCTCCTTTAACTTGTCTAATAATTCAACTTTTTTGTCAGGGTCATCACTGACTTTTGCCTTTTATGTTTCACTCCACCAGCATCACTAGCACTGGCACTAGGCAGTTTTTTAGGGGACATTTAACACAGAAAGACTAAAGTTTTGAGAGTACAACACGAGATGCTACAGGTTGACAACCCTTTATCCGAAATTCCGAAAACCGAAAAGCTCTGAAAACCGAAAGTTTTTTTGTGGGGCACAATTTTTTTTTTTTTTTATTGAACAGGGATTAGCCCACCCAGGGCCTGGGGGGACGAAAATGTAATTGTAATAATAATTATAATAATAATTATTCATAGTAAATAAAAAAATAATAATGATAGCAATAATAATAATAATAATAATAATAATAATAATAATAATAATGATAATAATAATAATAATAATAAAAATATAATAATAAAATTAATAATAATAATAATCACAATAATACTGTAATAATAAAATAATAATAATAATAAAGAAATACAAATTTGAAAAAAGATCAAAAGTGAGAAACACGACCTAAACCTATGAAAATTTATTATTATTATTATTATTATTATTTTTATTATTATTATTATTACTATAATTGTTATTATATTCCCCAACCAGGCCCCGATGTGGGTCAGTGATCTTTGCCCGGGTGGGCTAATACACATAAAAAAAACCCTAACCATTCTGAAAACCGAAAAATTCTGAAATCCGAAATGCCTCTGGCCCCAAGGATTTCGGATAAGGGATTGCCAACTGTACGTCACAGGCATTGGTTGAACGTGAACAGAGGGAGAGGAGATGTTGTGGGCGCGTGGGGTGACTCCTTGTGCCGTGGGAAAGGTTCGCAAGCTAGCCACCATCTGCTTCCCGTGAATCGTTGAAATTGCAAATTGCAAACCTGCAAATGACAAGGGATTAGCATACTATAAACAATAATCCCATTTTCCAGGGTCAGGTCCATGCATCACCATGGTAACAGTTTATATTACTTAGGGGAGACAGTCTACTAACCTCTTGTGTACAGTGCCTGCTGTATATCAGAACTTGCTTGAGATATTAGGTGAAAAGGTTGGGGTTTATTCACCACCAGTGTTGGGCTGTCATAAGAAAATTATTTGTCTCCCACATAAAGGAGAACCATACAGGGGGTTCTCAACTTACAAACACCCGCCGATACAAACGAGGTCCCATAGGTTAATTATTTTAAGAATCCGACATAAGTACAACTGGTTCCTGGTACTGTATTAAGGTACGAGAACTAGTTTGTGTGGGGTAGAGGCGAGGCGGAGCAGCGGGTGGGGAGTAACACACCTTGAGGGAGCATCAGTACACCTTGAGGGAGCATCAGTACACCTTACCCTCACATCAGTAATGTGTGTGATCAACTACAATCTGTTGTTTATTAACTCTTATTTTTCTGCCCTCATCGTGGCTCCCAAACATAAACCTGATGCAAGTGGTAGTAGTGCATCCAAGAAAAAGGAAAACAGTTATGATGGAAGTCAAAGTTAATGTAATGAAATGTTCTGATAAAGGTGAAACACCATCAGTCATTGGTAAAGCGTTGGGCTTCAGTCGGTCAACTATCGGAACAATTTTGAAACACGAACACAATATTCTTGAACATGTTAAAGGATTTACACAAATGCAGTCAACTGTGATAACAAAACAAAGAATCAATGGCGTCTCCCTCTAAGTCTGGCCTTGACTCAGGCAAAAGTGAGAAGCTTGCACACTGACTTGAAGGCCGAACCTGGTGATGAAAGTGATGGGGAAGATTTTGTTGCTAGTAGGGGCTGGTTTAACCAGTTCAAGGTAAGGGCAAATGGTGTTTGGAAAAAAAAACACTGCCAAACTATGGGACCATCTCCAGCTTGATATTCATGAGGATGATGTCACACAGTTGCTTGAATCTTGTGCTGAAGAATTAAGCAATGAGGACCTGAGTAAACTGGAGAAGCAAATTTCGTCAGAGGATGTAGAGAAAACTGAAACGCCAGAACCAAATGGATTCATTACACAAGAAATGGCAGATGGTTTCAGGCTTATTGAAGAAGGATTGTTTAAATTTGAACAGCAAGATTCGCCAAGGTTCTTAAAGGTATTACTGAATGTCTACTATGCTACAGAGTTGTTCTTTTTTTTTTATGGGGGATAGCCCACCCTGGCACAGGTCATCAACCCACAACGGTGCCTGGAAGGGGCGGCAAAAAAATAAGAGTAAAAAGAAATTAAAAATAGAAAAGAAAATTGATTACTGTACATTAATCTACTCCACGAAGATGCCGGAAAACCAACTTTTTGAGGTGAGACAGATTGTATGAGTATGGAAACACAGAAGAAGGCAGAGCATTCCACAGTCTGGCTGTGTGAGGAAAGAAGAAGGTTAATCTAGTGTGACCAACATCCGCAGAGAAACGGCCAGTGCTACACAGGATGCCAAACCCACCGAACATTGCCCGTTAAATTACCTGTAAAAGAGAGAGAGTGAAGCAACATTGTGACAAAGAGAAATGGAAGAAAGAATATCAACTAAAGGAGGAGAGTTAACAAGATGAGATGCCTTTGATTCCACCCTATCTAACAGTTGAAGAGCCACCCCAGATATGAGAGCAGTACTCCAAGTTAGGACGAATGAATCCCTTATATACTTGAAGCAACTGCTCAGGAGTGAAGTAGCTACGGCATTTGTACAGCATTCCCAGCTTTTGGGAGGCAGCTTAAGCAATGTTCTGGACGTGTGGCTTCCATGACATATTAGAGGAAATGGTGAGGCCTAGCATATCTATTTTAGAACTTGGCAGAATGATAGCATCCTGAAATGTGATTGGTGGGAGATCATCTAATTTAGAAAGTGTAATTGGTAAATACTGAGTTTTATTACTATCGAATTTAACCAAGTTTCTACCTCCCCATTCAGAGATGCTGCACAGATCTGCATTGGTAGATGTAATGATATCAGCCTTAGAAACAGATCTAGTTTGAGAGTTAGGAGGAAGGGAAAATGTGAAGAAGAATGAAGAGTAGAATCATCAGTGTAAGAATCAATAGAATTAGTCATAATGTGAAGTAAATCATTGATAAAAAGAAGGAAGAGAGTAGGTGAAAGAACAGAACCCTGTGGGTCACCACTATTGGTAGACAAAGAGCGAGAGATCGATCCCTCGACAACAACTGCCATGGATCAGTTCTCAAGGAAACTAGAGATTAGAGAACAAAGTGGGGGAGAGAAACCATAAGAGGGAAGTTTAGAAAGCAAAGACTTGTGCCATACCCTGTCAAATGCTATGGAGATGTCGAGGGCCACGACGAAAGTTTCCCCATAATCCCGAAGAGAGGATGACCAAAGATGGTGCAATAGGAGAGCAAATCACCAGTAGATCTCACCTGGCATAAGCCATACTGGTGATCTGACAAAAGAGAATGGCGTTCAAGGTGATGGAGATGCGGGAGTTCATGATAGTTTCAAAAATCTTAAAGAGGGATGAAGTTAGGGCAATTTTGTCGTTCAGTTTCTTCTCTTCTCTTAAATAAGTGATTCAAGATCTATAAAAGGACTTAGGCTATGATAGAGTGCACATAGGGTGTGTTCTGACTTACATACAATTCTAACTTAAGAATATCCTCAGGAGTGAACTCATTTGTATCCCGGCTGACGGGGATATCACTGTATATTTTATGTATAAAACATATCAGGATTTACTTATTATTTATATGAGAATGTAATTTTATTTAACTTTTTATTCTATTTTCATCGAAAATAGTGATATCCCCGTTAGCCGGAACAATTGGTGTAGAACACTTCCGGGAATGAAAGATTTCTGGGTAACGAGACGACTCTCTCAAAGCCGGAAAAACCTCCCCATCGCCGAAAATTTTCTTGGAATTTTCTGATAAAATTTTAATTCCAGCCTACGGAGATATTACTACGAGTACAGTATTTACAACATAGTACTGATAAGGTGTGTGTGTCCTCATAATACCCACAGTGTTAGTTATACTCTTAGTCAAATATGTTTTATATTATCCCATGCTTCATTATTTCTCTCCTTGTAATGTTTTTTTTTCAGATTTTCCCTAGTTTCCTCATGTTGTTCTTATGGCCACTGTCATCCTCTTTATAGATGTTTGGAGGTGTATCAGTGTCAATCCCTCAGCCCTCTAAAATATTCTTTCTGTTCTTTCTGCCCCTTGTTGACGTTTACACTTCCTCGGTAATTGTATTCATCATTCTGTGAGTTAGTGTTGTCAGGGGGGGGGTAAGTAAGTAATCTCTGCATCCAATAACCTTTCATCTTTGTTTTCATTCAGTAGTGTTAAGTCTTGTTTGTTTGAGAACGTTCCTTGACCCCTTCACTACGGAGACGCAGAACAGTTTTTTTCAGCTGAGAGGACACCCCGTACACAAGGGGTTGATACAGATACAGTTGTTGGTTGTGTTGTGCGAGGGTTGATAGGAATGGTTATAATAGTCTACTAGTACTGTACTATCCTACAGAGATAATAGTAATGGTTATAATACTCTACTATCCTTCCTTCTCTTCCACTGATTGAATGGAGTGGGGGAAGGATAACAGAATACAGTCCGATACTTATATTATTTTTATCATTCTTTTCAGGTATTTAAGTGCAGCCAAGACTGGGGATGAAATCTTGATAAACGCAGAAGCTCTCAAAGTTGGGAGGACTCTAGCGTTCCTCAATGTTGATATAACAAATAAAGATTCTGGTGCTCCTGTTGCTAGGGGTTCTCACACTAAGTATATTGGGTGAGCAATAACTCGGCCCATCACCACATTATTACACTTCATGTACATATCACTCAAAATAAAATTACCTAACCCAATCATTCCTCATCTCACCTCTGACCAAGATGGTGGAGATGTTTGAGCCATACATTTACCCTCACTGAAATATTGTACAGTCTACAGAAGGGGGCAGCCACACTGGCATACATTATGCTTGAAACATGTGACTGACAAATCAACCATAAGGTTCTGAAGCTGCATTAACAGAGTCTGAACCCTGTGGTTTGTTTCTTCTTGTTGATCTCAAGGTTTGGACCACACCCCTCAACAATAATCAATTTAGTTCTTTTTCCTTTGACATATTGCTTCGGTGAAACTCCACAAGTTGCTTATACAGCACAGTACAGTATTCCCCATTTTTTTACGATAGGACCAAGTTCCCGGAAACCTCAATGCATCTCAGGATCTTTTTAACATGGGTTTCAACACAGGTGGACCCCGATAACCAACACATACCGGTATAGGGACTGGAAAAAAGTTGTTGGTTAGTGAATCAACGGTTAGTATCAAAGCAATTAAACCCATTAGAACATAAGAAATTCAGAGTGTTAAAGTCCATTATATCGAGGGCCGGTTAGATGTGAAACCCATATGTAACATTATATGGAGGTTTCACTGTCCAATCCATTCATCACAGTAACACAGTCAACTCCTATGTTAGGCGTTCAGAATCAATATGGAGGATGGAAGGTAATGATTCTGAATGCCTCAAATTATAGTTAGTCTTTTAACCTCGTGCTGATGCCCTGTGTAGGAGAAGTTATTAAAACTTACCTCTTAATAATATCTAAACAGCTTAATCTGTTAACAGAGAACACTTGCCTTCACCAAGTTTATAATGTTTACAAGTTATTTATTTATCACTGACTGTTGCTCTGCTCTCTTCCCTCATAGGTGATTGTAATGTGCCAGTGTGTGTGGGAGACTCATGGGAGGAGGTAGGGTGTGTGGGAGACTCATGGGAGGAGGTAGGGTGTGTGGGAGACTCATGGGAGGAGGTAGGGTGTGTGGGAGACTCATGGGAGGAGGTAGGGTGTGTGGGAGACTCATGGGAGGAGGTAGGGTGTGTGTGGGAGACTCATGGGAGGAGGTAGGGTGTGTGGGAGACTCATGGGAGGAGGTAGGGTGTGTGGGAGACTCATGGGAGGAGGTAGGGTGTGTGGGAGACTCATGGGAGGAGGTAGGGTGTGTGGGAGACTCATGGGAGGAGGTAGGGTGTGTGGGAGACTCATGGGAGGAGGTAGGGTGTGTGGGAGACTATTGTAAGGTAAAAAAATGTACGCTACCACTTTTTGCGTGAAGGATTATGACACGACAGATGAAGGATTCCAACACCCTGACCAACACACATCACGAGTCATATTGATCAGTATGAAATTCGTGGACTCATCCCAAAGAGAGACTTGTTTTATGTAGTTTATAATATTATCAGTATTTAACATGTAAATAAAGAGGTATAGATTGTTTTAATTTGTGTCAGTTTTTCCTAAAAGTAGTGAATGTGTAGTGTAGTGTATGTGGCCAGTTGTCTAATTTATCTTTGTGTGTGTCAATTCTCTTTTCTTATGGCCATATACAATAAGGGAGATCTCGCATTCAGGATGGAGGTGGGAAAGGAAACTCACAATGTTGTTTTCTTTATATATATGATATGTACAGAGCAGTCAAGTGCTGGGAAGTTGGTACCTAGTAGAGTTGCTGCTGTAGGGAAGGTCTTCTCTGCTTAAGAGTGTGGTGTTGTCTGCCCTCACGGCGAGGCAGGCGGGTATTTATATCGTTCTGCCGGATCAAGAGCCGAAATGCAAAGATGAGAAACGCTGCTGATTGGCTAAGATAAAGGCGGCAACTGACCAATCACCGCACAGTTTGAACTCGAAGGTTGATTTGTGGAACTCGCCGCTGGTTGGCTGGTAAGCAGAGGGCAAGTGACCAATCAGCAGCTGTAGGGGAGAGTATCCACTACAAATGTGTTAGTTCACTCTACAGTAAATGGAAGGACTCATTATAGTATGACTATATTCAGTACAATTGTGTTTAAACAGTAAATGAAACCCACACTGAAAGATGAGAACCTATGTCAGTGACATAACTGTGATGAGTGATTAGTTCTTCCATACTCAGCTGAGTACAGTACAGGAGTGAGGCTACAGACACCACACAGTACAGTACAGGAGTGAGGCTACAGACACCACACAGTACAGTACAGGAGTGAGACTACAGACACCACACAGTACAGTACAGGAGTGAGGCTACAGACACCACACAGTACAGTACAGTATTGTATTCAAGAGAGCAACAAACACGATGTTTCCTCCACTGTAAACAAAGTTAAACTGACGCTTTGGGGGGTGAGTCAAGCGGCTGATGGGCGTACAAAAAACTAGTTCCCTGTACTGCATATGTTATCAATATGTTAACTAAATTTTAAAATGAATAATAAATTTTAATATAAAAAATGCAAAAATATTAAGAGCACAACTTTTTTTATATTTATTCCATTGGAAATGAATGTAAACATAGAACCGATTACTGTATTGGCGTATTAGCCGATCAGCTGATGTTCACAACAAAACGTGTTTGTCGTAAGGATTTCTTTAATTGAAGTTTTGTTCGTGAATCGAATTGAAGATCCTTATGGGAGCTAAATCGTTAACCAAATTTTTTTTAATTGAACCGTTCGTTAACCGAGGGACCGCTGTACACAGAAACTGAAAATCATACGCATTTCAAGAATAAACCAAGCACCAATCACAGTAAACAACGGAGAAATACAATACGCAAATGAAGGAAAAATACTGGGGCTAACAATAACAAGAACCGGAATAAATAAACACATAATGGAACGTAATAAACTAGCCCTAATACAGCTCGCAAAACTAAGAAGATTCAGTAAAATGGAAAAGAAAATACAACTACTGTACACCTATCTAAAGCACTTGTCCGCCCCCGTCTTGAATACCCGCCAATACCATTAAACACGATCAGCCGTACCAACCAATTAAAACTCCAGGCAACACAAAACAAAGCCATCCGCAGAGTCTCCAAACAATGTCCCCCATACACAACCAAAATAAAAGGGCTTCATGAAAAATACAACATTTTGCCATTAAACATACAGACAAGCACAGGGAGTATGGTACAAGTTGTGGAAGACGAAATATATACTCAACAGAAGACACCACAAGATCACACAACTGGTGGCCTAAAAGCCTTCTCTATAACCCTCAACTGTACACGAAACACATCCTTATCTACACCTCCTTTTGACCAACCTCCTTTGAGCTCCGGCGACCTCTTGGAGCGGCCTTCACCACAGCCAATCAAATCGTCTGGATAGCCCACCTGCTCTTATTTTCTACTACTTTACTTCCCGTTTCATAACTTTCCTTCTATCTTTCCTCTTTTCTCCCTTCCCATGGCAAACCATTGCCATTTTATCTCCATCATCATCATCATCACCACCAGTCTCCAGCAAGACCATTAGGTCTCTCCCCAGGCAACTTAACGCCTGCATGTCTCTGGAACGAGGTGCGGAGACTGAACTCCTGCCACACAGACAGGCTTCCTAACACTATCCTGCACCAGCTTCACACTTAGAAGTTCGTCTCACCCTCTCAGCACTGGACTATTCTACAACCACGAATACACTGATGTGCGCCATGCTGCCACAGACAACTCAGTGGCCACACTATCACTTAGCTCCGGTGTCTTCAACCAGATCAACGCTCCTCAGAGAAGTAGTATTCCACCAGACAAACAGGACATGATGGACCTGCTACAATCCTGACACCGCAGGATGGAGACCCTCTAGCAGCTCTACTCCTCCAAGCCTGCTGCTGGTCCTGCCCCTGCCCCACGCACTGTGTCCTACTGAGCCTGACATCCAAGACCTGCCTCAGACGCCGCCGCCAGCCCCCAGCACAGTGTACCTACCCTCTGCTGCTACCATCAACGTTTTGGTGTTAATGCTAGATGCTGTGAGGCTCCCTGCAACTACACGAGGAAACGACGTCGACGGGGATTGGTAAACGCCACAACCTCCGTCACTTCAGGCGTCTCACCGCTGCAATACTATTGTAGTGACCTGCTCTCCCTACAACTCCTCTCCCGTCTTCGCCCAGCAAATCAGCAGCGCCACTCACCTCACATCTCCGACCTTGATCCGGCAGAATCGTATAAATACCCCCAGCCTCGCCGTGAAGGTCACAACACCACGACCGGTTAAAACTCCATGACAGGGAGCGTGCCTTGTGGTGTTGGAGGACGAGGGTAACCTGGTGGTTGACACGATGGGAGCTCGCACTTTGGACAATTACAAAGCGTACAACATCCGTAATGCAGTGTTTAACTGGGCAGAGGCATAGAAAAGCCTTAGTGTAACTACCCTAGCCAATGCTTGGGACAAACTTTTGAAAGGCACTGAGGTCAAGGTCAACTTTGCAGGGTTTGACACTGACAATTTTATTAACTTGCTACACCAAGGTGGTGAGACTGAGGACAATGTTGTGGAGTGGCTGGAGGTAGACAATGCAGAACAAGGATGTCATCACAACATAGAGGAGGAGATAGCTGCAAGTGTCTCTGAAGAAATGACAGAACAACAAGATGATGACGAATGTGATGACGAAGATCCCAGTCCATGGCCTAAGCTCTGATCTCAGATTTCACTTGGACAAGGCCTTGGAGGCAGTTGCCTGACCTAGAGAAACACGACTCAACTCTCATAGACATCAGGGCAGACGTCGTAAAACGTCAACACACCAACTTCAAACAAGGGAAAATATCCGACTTCTTTAAACCTGTGCCAAGGTCCCAAGAACCAGTCGACCTTCCTCCCACCAGCAGTGAAGCCTCCTTAGTGATACCTTCAGTATCAGGATAGTCTTCCTCAGACACTTCCAGCAGTGACAGTTTCTTACACAGTATTTCCCCAGAAGTGCCACATCTCTTGCTGCCATCCAACAGTGAGTGATTATACAGTGTACTGTACTGTACATCTCATAGTGTTTTTATTGAAAATAGTGTACAGTACAGTACTCTAGTGTTTATGTGAAAATAGTGTACAGTACAGTACTCTAGTGTTTATGTGAAAATCAAATTCTTTATTTTATATAAGTGAGCAAATTCCAGTAGTACAGTATACTGGACATAAGTACTACACTGTTGAGGTAGTGTCCCCCCTCCATCACCTGTGTCACCTACCATGCCTGTGTCACCTACCATGCCTCTGTGTCACCTACCATGCCTCTGTCACCTACCATACCTCTGTGTCACCTACTATGATGCTTCATTCTTCGCCTGCAGTGCTGGCAAGTGTTACTTTTTAAAATTAGTAATTACATGTACACGTATATGGGCCGATAATGTTTTTATTGTCGGGGGGCCTCGATAAGTCGGAATTTGAAATAATTCAGCAAGGCCAGAGCCCCATGCATGCTGAGTTATCAAGGGTTTACATTGGTATAACTGTAGAACATATACTGGGTGTCTGCTCCTTGGGTAGGATTATAGAGGTATAACTGTAGGACATATAAAGCTCCTCCCCGACTTACGACCCGCCTCAGTCCTACCAAAATTTTGTCAAATTACGTATTTTCGAGTCCCAACGTCAGTACACAGACAAAATTTTCATTTGTAATTCACTTTAAAATGGCTGGCAAGCTTAAAAGTGAGAGTTTTGTGGTGCTGAGAATAAAAAGAGACGTCCATTTTAGATTTTCTATGTATTATTTAAGCATTTTCGACTTACGACCTGGATTTGGGTCCCTAACCCCGTCGTAAGTCGGGGAGGAGCTGTATATCTGTTCCTTGGGTAGGATAATAGAGGTATAAATTATCAAGATATAAATGAAAGTTTACAAAAGGTAGAGATAAAGAAACAGTTTCCAGGTCATGTCTTTATTGCTACCCCGACAGAGACTCATAAACAACACAAGATCAGGTAATATGTCATGTCTTGGTTCTTCTGAGGTGCAAACTGACTTTGGTGTTTAGCTTCACAGACTATAGTTAAAAAGGAAGACTCAATAATGGTATGAAATAGCACAATTTCAGGTTTCTGGCCATTAATAAGTCTATATATAATTTTAATTTGGCATGTCTTAACTTTACTTAAACAATATTTATAGCAGCTTCAATGACAGCTGTCAGGTAAAACAAAACGAGCAATTGAACATTCCTTTCTTTTGGAATGACCGTTGTTTGTTTATAAAGTGGTAACTACACGATGTCAAAAATGTTTATAAACTGAAGAAAGTCTACATACAAAATTGTCTTCATCCTTGTATCTGTGTTTGAGCAGAGAGCCTAAGTCTGCCTTGGGCTCTTTTATATTGAAATTCTAAAGATAGGAAAAAATATGTTGGTCTCACATCTATGAAAACCGTATCAAGAAATACACAGTAAGTCTAACATAGCTAAAGCGTCGGTAAAAAACTAAGTAGAGGGGCAGAAGTTGCCTATCCTATAAGCCTGTATGATCAATATACAATATATACATGATATAAGTTATTGCTACAACAAATGGCAGAACTTATCATGGGACAAAAAGGCACTTCCTAATTCAGATAATGTGTTAGAACTTTCAGGTTTCTAAAAACCTAACATTTGATAGGGAGTCTGGAATAGTTTCTCTTGGGAATGTTCAGGAACTTCACTGAGTAGAAATAGAGAGAACAATCTTAAATAAACATTTAGGTCAATGAGATCAAAATTTGGCTAAGTAAATACATAAAGGTATTGACTAAGTCTTCCATAATGACACACGAGGACCATAACCAATACTGGAATTTTTCTACATAAAAAATTCAGCTATACATTTCTTACATGTGTGTTGCTTCTGCCCATAACTACAGATGCAGCAGCAAAAATACTGTTGATATATGTTGACCAGCTTCCTCTTGGTATAAAGTGTACGGGTAAAGTGGTCAACAGGATCTATGATAAACGTGGGAGATTTAGTGCCTTCTGGATTGTATGAATGACTTTGTGCTTATGGCTGAAGGTCACATGTGGTCCAAAGTTGTATGGAATGAAAATGTGACTTTGGGCTGTCACACAAACCAAGCAGAGTTTGTGCAAGACAGTGTGTACCCCTGAGACAAGTAGTACCTTTGTATTTCCTTGGGCAGCTGAGCAGAAATGAAGATGCAGCCAGCTTCAAGACCTAGAGCTCGTCTCTTTCACCTTATTAAACTACAGAGAAGAGCTTCTTGTTGCATCCATCATACTTTTATCTAAATCGAAACTACAATTAACTTTATTTTCATTTAAACTAAGAAACTGCCTCTTTTTCTTACATTGTTATTCAAATTTCATTACTTTATACAAATTCTGCACCAACTTTGCTGACCAAGTCGGACGCGGTGAACTCCAAGTTAACTGATCTCCAACATGAACTTGGAAAAAGAGAGCAAATAACATACATTCACCTTCAGTGGTTAAGGGCAATATAATAGTCAGTGGAATAAAGTTTTCTAATTGAAGAAATGATAAAACGAAAGCCTTCATCAACATGGCTTTCAATAAAATGTCACATGAACTATGTTCATTTGTCAGACAAAAACAAAGATTAAAAGTAGGACAGAGAAGAAATAAGTTGGAACATAAGTATCCCCAAATCCCTAAGAGCATGCATGCTTTAAGGCTGGCAGTGTGTCAGTCTTGCAGAAGTCTAGGGGTGCACTAAGGAAACTCCTGCACAGCCTAGTACCATGTCTACCCATCTGTCAAAAACTGTTGGCGTCCACCAACGGTGCGAGAGGGTCACCACGGGAGGCTGCATCGCACTCCTCTACATAACATGGAATAGTAAATCCCTGAAACAGAGACTGATAGAAGAACAATGTTCTATTCAGAGACTGACAGTTGTGCACATTTTCTAAAAGTTAAGAAATTCTTTTTGTCTTGTAACAAATGTACAACAAAATAAGAGAATAAATAAACATAAATATTCTGAAGACAAGAAAAATATATTTTTGTGCCAGACGCATCACTACTGTAGAAATATAAATATGGAGTGAAATTAAAAATGTTTAAGTACTCTATTTCCAAAATACATTGTCAGCTAATGAATGTATAAAGAGAAGCTTCGCTCACCCCCAGAAGGAGTACAGTAAAGGAAGGTTTCAACAGGAATAAGTATAAAATTCTTGAGCAGCTTTTTACAGTAATTAAGGACTAGATTATGCCTCATGTCAGAGAGCTGTTTCCATAGACTCCTTTTCATCAGTTTCATCATCATTTGTGACTGATTCTATCTCTTGTAGTGTGTCTGAAGTGATGATGGACACATCTGGTGGCTGAGGAGGCTGATCAAGGGTGGTATTAGGGGTTGAATGTGCAACATCCTCACGATGTTCAACTGGAGAGGATGAAGGGGATGATGGCGCGGTGCGATGAGAACTACAAGGTTCACTGTGGGCACGTGCCAGAGGACCCCTCACGCTCTGTCGATCTGGGCTTCCTCCACTGCTGTCATCTTCATCTTCATCTTCTTCATCTTCATCTTCTTCCTCCTCTTCATATACTTCTCCACCATGATCTTCTAGTATGGTGGTACTAATAATTTCGGTCTTTGGTGTGCGGAACCGCCTGCCACTTCCAAAGCGACTCTGAAACAGTAGTGCCCGGGCAGTGTTGCGGGAAGAAGGTGGAATGATGACTCCTTCGCCCCGGGTCTGAGAGGGCGAAGGTTGTGGAGGCTTCACCACTGGGGCAGGAGGAGGGGAGTACCCATAAATCCCCGGACGAGAAGCTTTTAGCATCTCCACGGCAGATATTCTATGATTACCACCGGCGGAACTCATACTTTTATTTAAAATCATTTTCTTAAAATCACCGAGAGTTGTTTGTTTAGGGGTAGATTGTGATGCCTGCTGAGACTGACTTTGTTGAGATGACAAACACTGTTGGTTCAGCTGGGGGTCTTGGCCACCTACAGGTATACTGGGACTTTGTTTTGCTTGAGGTTCATATCTTCCTAAACCATCACAAGAAGATAAATCCTGATAGCCTTCAGGAGGATCAACATCTGCTGTAGGTGAAATATCTTCTGACTGCGAGTCAGGAAGTGAATGTTGAAGTGTAGCTGCATCTCTGTGAGCAACTCCCACCTGTTGGTGGTTGATCTGTTGGTCGGGAGGCCAACCGCCGTATACACTCTGAACTTGTGGCCTGATGGTATATGGTGGAAGAGGATTAACGCCAAACACGGCAGGAGAAGTACTGCGGCTAGACGTTGGGGTGGTCTTCTGGCTGCTAAAATCACCAGTAGGACCAGCCATTGTGCCCCTGTGGGAATTATAGTACTGAGGATGGCGCATAGCCGCATACAGCTCCTCTCTACTCATGTAACGACGCCCTCGAGTCAAGTCTGTAACCGTGAGATCTGTCACATCAGACATCACACTCTGGGGTGATGGGTTAACAGACACGAAGGATGACTGGTTGCTGTCTGGTGGTGATACTGGTGTTGTCGGTAATGAACGTGGTCCAACACCCCCTCCCCCCTGCTGCTGCTGCTGCTGAAGTTGCATGGCCTGGTGCTGCGCTCGTCGGCTATAATAATAAACTTCGGCAGATGGGCTACTTCTGTAGCTCTGCTCCCCGGACATCTCACTAGAGTAAGACGAATTCATATCCGAGGACGCGGTGTCGGGCGAAGGGTAACGGATAAAGCTCGAGTCATCCGGAGGCACAGGTTTCCTTGCTCCTTTTTCTGAAGCTGCCTTGAAACCTCCATCGTCATCCTCTGTCGTTTCGTCCTTGTTTTTCTTCTTTCTTCGTAAAGGCAAAGTCCAAAACCATTTTTTCTTGGGAGACTTTTCTGTTTTTGGTTCCTTTTTCTTCTTTTCTTTATCTTTATCTTTATCCTTTTTACTAGATTTTTCCTTTTTATCCAACACCTTCTCTGGCGTGCTTGGGTTAGAAGCTGCCGGCCTTCGAACTCCTCTGCTGTCCAATCCTGCTGTATATGAGGCCACACTTGACCTCCTAGATGTTGCCTGTTGCTGCTGTAGCTGCTGCTGAGCCTGCTGCTGCTGCTGCTGCTGTGTTGTCTGGGGTACAAATGACTGTCGTCGGGATGGAGGGAGGGAACTGTATCCTCTCTGGTGTCTCCCGAACCCGGCCGGTAACGTCCCTCCGACTTGAACGTGTCGAGTCATGCCAATTCTACCATATATATCACTGTCAATGAGACTGTGGTGTTCACTGTAGGGAGGTGGTGATGTGGATATAGGCCGCGGAGGCTGCTGCTGCTGGCCCGACCCTCGACCCTCGGCCACTAGGCCCACACTCTGCAGACTACGCTGGGATCCATAGAGTAAACCTATAAATGAAATGCCACAGAATATTTGAGAGTGTAATGTTGAATTAATTCATTTAAAGGTTAAAAGCACATAAGTACTGTACATACGGTACCCCTCCACAAAATGACCATTATCATTATTCTTGGGAAATTAAAAATAATTTCTCAAGATAAAAATCTATAACTATTTCTTACCGATATAATACTACTACAGTATAATGCTACTGTATAATACTAAAAGTTTATCCATTTAGTAGAGGCAAATATCTGCATGAGTGTAAGATATGAGTAACTATTTTGTGTTGGTGTATCAGTGGAGGTGTGTTGTCCCCACAACCGAGATCACAGACGAATGTTTATGATGAAAAACTGAGAAGATAAATACAGTACACAAGAGGAAGAGACTTAATAAAGACCAGGTTGTGTAGGACAGAATAATGAGGCGGCTGCCTTAGTACTTTATTATAATACTCTACTGAATTAAAAACAACAGATTTTTACTCAAAAACGAAAAAAAAAGTTAGCGATTCTAGGATGGAATGGTATTAAGTCTTGTGCAGGTGATGTGAAACCCAAATGGTGTAATGGAAGACAAAAACATTAGTGTTTTATATAGAGTACAGTGTTTGGTTCACCATAAGTCCTGGAGGGAACAAGAAACACTTAATAATGGTAAAATACATATATTGACTAATACTTCTAACAAGACAATTTTAAATAGGTGTTTACTGTGCATAACTAGGGACTGTAAACCCTGACCTACACTATCACTCATTATCTTAAAAAATAATCAGTTAATAACATCAAAATAAGAGCAACATATGTATTAAGCTTGACTTATACATATATATTTAGCATGTAACAAGGAAAGATGCATATAAGAGCAGAGAGAGAGAGGGTGGTGCAGAGGTCGCCGTGCCTCAAACTTCAGGTAAGCCTCCCCTCATCAAGTAACAGAGGCTACTACAGTACTGTACTGTACTTTACACAATGATTGCAAGTATCCATGTTGATTCTGCATATAAAAAGCTGAAAGTTATATGTAGAGAGACACTCATGCTAGGCAGGAGCAGTACACCACTGACAAACAATGTAAGAAATATAAAAGAAAGTAAGTTATCTGCCAGTGTTGGGGTCCAGACAGTGTTGGTGAGAGTAGGTGGAGGAGCTAACACAACAGGTGAACCTTTACTGCAGTGTGAGCCATGCAGGTAGCAATATAGTACAAGTGGCAAGAGTTATCATCAAACCCAGATTTAGATCCAGAACCACAACTGAATATTTATACGAAAAGCAAGAGTTTGGTTATGTAAGGAAAAGGTTAAGTTAGGCTAGGTAGGGTTAGGTTAAATTAGATTCTGGGTCTGAGTCCTGATCTGGGGTCTAGTGAGTCACAAGGATGAGGTGAGGTAAGGAGGGGGGAGGAGGTAGGGATGATATAAGATAAGGGGGGAGAAGGTGGGTTGTTAATAAAGCAGATGTGGCTTACTGCCTGACTGGTGGTAATTGTTTATATTTAAGGGGGACTGATATAGACCATCCCACTGAGGGAAGCTGCAGTAGTTGATGTGAAGGAGGACATGATAGTGAGCATCTTGAGGGGGAAGAAGAAGAAGAAGAAGAAAGACAAAAGAGCAATATTTCTCAGAAGCAAAGAGGTTGCTACCATTCTGCCTAAATAAAGAAAAGATAGTGATAAAGATAGTGAGCGTTGGTATAAGTAAAAGATGAGTGTACCTCAACTGCTTCAGACTGCACACTGTGGAGAGGAGACCAGTAGGTAAGTTGCTCATATCTAGGTCTTGAGAGCATACAAAGGTTGATGCTCTGAGTAAGGTCAGATGAAGAGGACATGGAGAATGTCCTGAGGTGAAGTGTAGTGATGGTGTGTTGAGGTGAAGTGTAGTGAGAATGTCCTGAGGTGAAGTGTAGTGATGGTGTGTTGAGGTGAAGTGTAGTGATGATGTGTTGAGGTGAAGTGGAGTGATGGTGTGTTGAGGTGAAGTGTAGTGATGGTGTGTTGAGGTGAAGTGTAGTGATGGTGTGTTGAGGTGAAGTGTAGTGATGGTGTGTTGAGGTGAAGTGTAATGATGATGTCCTGAGGTGAAGTGTAGTGATGGTGTGTTGAGGTGAAGTGTAGTGATGGTGTGTTGAGGTGAAGTGTAGTGATGACGTCCTGAGGTGAAGTGTAGTGATGGTGTGTTGAGGTGAAGTGTAGTGATGGTGTGTTGAGGTGAAAGGTTAATTGTATGTTGTATGTGGAAGGTTAACTGTATGTTGTATGTGGAAGGTTAACTGTATGTTGTATGTGGAAGGTTAACTGTATGTTGTATGTGGAAGGTTAACTGTATGTGGCAGAAATAATGGATAACGTGATCATAAAGTGAGAGTAATTTATGAGTATTGTAAACTACATTGTTTTGTATACCCCACATAACAACAGACTGTGAACAAGAAATAATAGTAATGGTCAAAGCAGGAAGCTGGTACGGTGCTGTAGGGGACATGTGGAGCGTCAGGTTGAACAATACAGTGGAGTTGACACAGCAGTTAGTATTAAGAGAACAAGTTGAATATTTAAGGGAAAAAAGTCTATGTGAAGCTAGAAGAGGTTCATATAACAGATGTGTATATTTAAGGGAAAAAAGTCTATGTGAAGCTAGAAGAGGTTCATATAACAGATGTGTATATTTAAGGGAAAAAAGTCTATGTGAAGCTAGAAGAGGTTCATATAACAGATGTGTATATTTAAGGGAAAAAAGTCTATGTGAAGCTAGAAGAGGTTCATATAACAGATGTGTATATTTAAGGGAAAAAAGTCTATGTGAAGCTAGAAGAGGTTCATATAACAGATGTGTAATGTTAATAAAAATGTGGACACTAAAATATAATGTACTGTAGAATCAAGAGGGATAATTTTAGCATATGAAAAGATGCAACGGAAAATAATAGCTCAATGCAGATATGGTGGAGGAACAACAGATGATGAACAGTTGTGAGTGGTGGAGGAACAACAGATGATGAACAGTTGTGAGTGGTGGAGGAACAACAGATGATGAACAGTTGTGAGTGGTGGAGGAACAACAGATGATGAACAGTTGTGAGTGGTGGAGGAACAACAGATGATGAACAGTTGTGAGTGGTGGAGGAACAACAGATGATGAACAGTTGTGAGTGGTGGAGGAACAACAGATGATGAACAGTTGTGAGTGGTGGAGGAACAACAGAACATGATGAACAGGTGTGAGTGGTGGAGGAACAACAGATGATGAACAGTTGTGAGTGGTGGAGGAACAACAGATGATGAACAGTTGTGTGTGGTGGAGGAACAACAGATGATGAACAGTTGTGAGTGGTGGAGGAACAACAGATGATGAACAGTTGTGAGTGGTGGAGGAACAACAGATGATGAACAGTTGTGAGTGGTGGAGGAACAACAGATGATGAACAGTTGTGAGTGGTGGAGGAACAACAGATGAAGAACAGTTGTGTGTGGTGGAGGAAACAGATGATGAACAGTTGTGAGTGGTGGAGGAACAACAGATGATGAACAGTTGTAGTGGTGGAGGAACAACAGATGAAGAACAGAACAGATGATGAACAGTTGTGAGTGGTGGAGGAACAACAGATGATGAACAGTTGTGTGTGGTGGAGGAACAACAGATGATGAACAGTTGTGAGTGGTGGAGGAACAACAAACAACAGATGATGAACAGTTGTGAGTGGTGGAGGAACAACAGATGATGAACAGTTGTGTGTGGTGGAGGAACAACAGATGATGAACAGTTGTGAGTGGTGGAGGAACAATTGTACGGGTGTGAGGAAGAGAAAGCTTGTGATAAATGAGAAGAAAGTTATTAAACATTTATGGTGAAAAAGCTGTAAAAGCTGTAAAATTACCCACAAATACTGAGATCAATTTTAAAATGTTGACAGACACATCATTCTTACGTCTGCCATTCTTACAATCACAAGAACAAGATGAGATTATATCAGGTGTTAGGGGGACGACAAAAGAACATACAACTCCATAAAGACAACAAAATATTTGGAAGTAATTTATGAATGACAAGAAATAACAAAGGAAAGAAGATAAGTTGTGTACACTGTAAAGTTATCATGATTTAGTGATGATTGTATTTGGTGGAAATATTGTACACCTGTTGTGTTGGAGGTACTGTACTGTGCTGTACTATGCTGTGCTGTACTATACTATGTTATACTGTGCTGTACTATACTATACTGTGCTGTACTATGCTGCATTGTGTTGTACTATGCTACACTGCTGTACTATGCTGCACTGTGCTGTGCTTTGCTGTACTATGCTGTACTGTACTATGCTGTACTGTACTGCACTGTACTATCTTGTACTGTACTGCACTGTACTATGCTGTATTGTACTATGCTGTATTGTACTATGCTGTACTGTACTATGCTGTATTGTGCTGTACTGTACTATGCTGCACTGTGCTGTACTATGCTGTAGTATGCTGCACTGTGCTGTACTATGCTGTACTGTACTATGCTGTATTATACTATGCTGTACTGTACTATGCTGTACTGTATTATGCTGTACTGTACTATACTGCACTGTACTATGCTGCACTATACCATGCTGAACTGTGCTATGCTGCACTGTATTATGCTGTACTGTACTGTGCTGTACTGTACTATGCTGTACTGTACTGTACTATGCTGTACTGTACAGAAGAGTATCAATATAAAGTACTGTACTTTACATCTGGGGGCAATAAGAACAGAAAGATGAGCATCATGTTTAAAATATAGAGAAGTGAAGGTAATATATAAGGAGAGCAGGTGATAAACAGCTAGACCTGGTGTTATGTGACGGTGGTACATGTGACTCTACAGTGCGTGAGAGCAGCTGGACTATTAGAAGGTTTAGCAATTGGGAAATAAATATAATGGTAAAAACAAAACATCATCAGATATGAAATTTTTGGTCACCTGTGTAATTGTGGCAGCAAATGTTGATGAATGTTGGTATGTTTAAAACTTGA